GCTGACAGCTACCTTACTTGAAAAGAATTCTGCCGGCATTCATGTACGTAGCCTCTGTGCTTAATAAGCTCTCACTGAAGGCGTATGTGGGACGAGAAGGTAGAACTCCTCATATTCTAGACCTAGACACTGGACTGAGGATGTGAGAACAGGGTGCTGAGGGAAGAATTTATACTTAGGAGAGATGAAGCGACAGGAGAATGGAGAAAACTGCAAAATGAGGAGCTTCATATTTTGTGTTTTTCACTAAATATTATTAGGGTGTCAAAGTCAAATATAATGAGATGGGTGGAGCATGTAACACTCATGGGGATCAGAATGCATACGAAGTTCTGGTGAGAAATCCCGAATGGTATATGCTATATTTATCAACGGGAGAATAATATTAAAATGAATTTAAAAAATGGTGTGAGGGAGTGTGGGATGGATCCGTCTGGCTAAGGACAGGGTCCAGTGGCAAGCTCTTGTGAGCACGGTGATCAACTTTCGGGTCTCAGAGAAGGTGGCGGTATGTCTTCACTAAACATCCTGCCTTTCCCGAGGGGCCACGATGTCTGCCCATTGCACCTTCCCCGCCCCCAGCGTCCGGAGAGCTCTAATTGTAATGACGCCCTTGTTCCTCTGTTCCAGATCTTGGGGCTTCTTTTGGGCGTCGTCCATGGCTACGACGCTTATCTGGCCTACAGGCAATTCCGTGGCTACGGCTGAGGCCGCAGTTACCTCGCCAACAGAAGAACATACCGACGTCTGTACACTCACCGGGCCATAGACTTACTCTGACGAGATATTTCGCCTTCTCTGTTTTATATTGTGGTCTTATGTCTGATCCGAGTTCTGTCCTGATGATGGAGGCATTATCTTCCTGAACAAAACGTTGCTACTCACCTACCAGGCTACACGGTGTCTTAACCGACATCTCATAAGGCTACAATCTGAAATGTATGACTTTCGGTGCCCTGAAAACCTTAAATCGCATAAACAGGGTGGTCCAGGGTGACGCCCTGGCGTTCTCCTGGGTACTGGGGCGCCCCCTCCTTTACAAACCCCGGGTCCTCATGTGACCCATCGCCTTCTCATTATGGCTTCTTTAATTTCCGACTTCCGTGAGGGAGACATCAGCCTCTTTACGTTCCATAAGCCGTCTGTCGTTCAGCTCTCCACTGAAAACTGCAAAGCTATCGTTACGTGAGGAGACCGGCTTCGTATCCTGCCTCGTACACATTCCCTTCAACCTGCAACAGCGTGCTCGGCCGACCTGACACTGAGGACCAGAGCCCCGGTCACGTGATATGATTTGCGTCGCAAACCAATACTGAAACTGATCATTTCCAAAAAAAATTTAATATTACAAGAGTCTTGGGGACACGCAGTAGCGTAGTTGGTTGAGGCACTGTGCTACAAGCCGGAAGGTCGCAGGTTCAAATCGCAATGAGGTCACTGGATATTTCAATTTACCTAATCCTTCCAGCCGCACTATGGCCCTGGGGTCGACTCAGCCTCTAACAGAAATGAGTGCCAGGAATCTTCCTGGGGGTAAAGGGCAGCTGGCATGTAAGGCTGACCTCACCGCCATCTGTGAGCCGACTGTCTAGAGCAAATGTGGGAGCCTCGACTTCAAACAACCCTATGGGCCTCCAGGGCCTGCTGCAGGGACAGCGTCACCTTTGCTAGTGCAGCTGAGATATGGCGTGTTGCACAGCCTTCACACCACAAAGACTAAGACATCTGAGGGTTATTAAAAGTGTTCCGAGGGACCGCATGAAGTCCCCTCGATTTTCCTCTTATTCTACTTAACTTCAAGTTCTTAATCTTTAATTTATTTCCTTCCGGGTTGTGACGCCGTATAGTGCGGAACAAGTGCTGGTCACACGTACCAGACTACATGGCGTCACAAACCAGAAGATATTGCCTTCCACAACCACCGACGTCAGAACCTCAACTCCGACTGCTCCTGAACTCAGTTCCCATGCAACACATACAGTGAAGTTGTGCCTGTGCTTAACTAATTAAGCACTACTCCATGAAGGCGTATATGGCAGTGGATGTATAGATCCACCTACTCTTGACCTTGGCACTAGTTGGAGGTGACTGGTCAGCTCCACCCCAGGGGAAAAAGCCCCTTGTTTCCATTGGATAGAAAGCTGGATGGGCCCCATAACCGGTCTGGACGACGTGGAGAAGAGAACATTCTTGACCCTACCGAGACTCGAACCCCGACTCCTCCATCGCCTAGCCCGTGGCCAGTCGCTATACCGACTGAGCTATCCCGGCTCTCTCTGTGGCTGTATAGTTGTGAAAATGAATAGGCTCCATGTTGGGGACCCGAGTCCTGCCTCAAGAACACGGACGGAGCAGAATGTGTATGGCGGTCGCGGAGGGACAGTTGGCAGAGACAACAGACAAGCCTTCTCTTCATTCATGTTTGGGATCTTCGTTTGTGAATGTACATTGTAATGAAGTATTTGTACTTTTATAAATTTCTTCCAATGTAGACGAGTATTAATTAAATCTTGTAATTATATCAATGCATAATGCAATAAGCATGCCCGCTTCCGTTAGTTTCTGTCTCCATGTTGTTGAGAAGCTACACGAAGGGAGAACTCGTAGAAGTTCCCATGGACCTTTGGAAGCCTGAGTCAAAGTCAGAGATATGTTACGACCGACGGTCAGTCGGCAAATCTATCTTGGTGTTAGATGGGGCCCGAGACTAGATTTTTGTTACTGTCAGCCAGTTGAAGGTTTATCGATGTGGGGCGCCCTCTCTGGCGAGAGGACGAGTACCTCACAGGAAACACGTCTCCGCTACGAAGCTGAACTGGTTAACGCTGTTTAGGGAAATAATTATTTCCCCAAACAGTATTAACCGGTTGGTCTGTTATGGAGATGTAATTATAATCGCTGTTTATTTATTGTGATAATCATATGGAACACACAAATACACTGTGTGGGCAGAATGCAGAGACTTTATATATAAGAATTCAGTCCGTACCTCACAGGAAACACATTACGTGTTTGACCAACCAGTCAATGCTGTTAACCAAACATGGCGATCGAATAAACAATATTCCTGCCCCATATTCAGGAGATCCTGGGTTCGAATATCACCCCAGAGGTTTTCTATTCTGACTCTCGTTTTGTTATAGTTTCCAATAGTCCCTCCAGAAAACTTCGCGATATTGCCTCAATCTTTGCTACAACAGATTCCTTCCACTTACTCTCAGATCTTACTCCTCGGCTCCGTATAAACCGAAACTGGGCGTTCATCGCGTGGCTGTCTGTGGTGTCTCGTCTTCATAGCCGGGAAACAAGACGCGGCAAATTCGCGATAAAATTATGTTTACAGAATGCGATAATTCCACTGCAGAGATAAAGAAATCTATTTTTCTGCTTTCTCAACGAAAAGTTGCAAATAATGAGGCATATGTCTCTGTTCACGCTGTCACGTGGCGAGGCATCACGCATGTGGTGCGGCCGATATGTACTTCTAAATACACAGTGACATGTTTCAGTACTCATGTGCTCGCCATGATAATAATGTACGGTGAACCCTCCGTCACTTCCCCTCTCTCAGGTCCAACAGTTGCCCTCAGCACCCTGTTCTCACACACGCTCCGTCTGTCTTCATCGCTTAGGACAAGAGTCAGCAGACCGGGATAGGTAAGGAACAGGTCGTGACCTATTTCAAGACACTATCTCGGCGTCTGCCTGGAGGGACTGATAGTGTCAGATGCGTTACCGACTCAGCCAGATGATGTGGCATGAGGAAGTCGTCAGACGACAGTGCGAAGGGCAAGAAGACGTGATAAGGTCTGAGAGGCAGGTGGGAGTTGCAGTGCAGATGCTGCTTCTGTGTGAGGCAGACGTGACGGGTGCGTGGCACTGTTGCATTGAGGATGTCGCAGACTATCATCGAGACTACGAGGACCTTCAGGCTCGGCACGGTGCCACGGACCAAGGGCAGTTACCTGGCGTCTCCTCTCGGCGCCTGCCAAATCGCGCAAACGGTATGTTAATGTGGTGCATGCTTTTGTGAAAACGGTAATAAACTTTCAGGTTCCATAAAAGAAACATAATTTAGCAGCAGAGAGATCGTTGGCTTCTCAAGGAATCTGCTCCACGGCGTTGAAGAGTGGAGTGGATTTTGAAGGTACAGTGTGTGAGGGTGTGGAGTGGATTCAGGTGGCTCAAGATCAGCTCCGATGGCAGGCTCTTGAGGACAAGATAATACAATCTTCGGGTTCCTTAATATGTATGGAATATTATGATCTGCCCAATAGAATTGCTACTCTGTGATGAAGTTGTCCCTGTGCTCAACTATGCTCCACACAATGAAGGCGTATGGAGGAGTGGAGGCATATTCCCACGCATTCTTAACTTCGACACTAGATGGAGGTGGGTGGGTCAGTTTCACATCCACTGGGGACCCACAGCCGGTCTGGACGCTGTGGAGAAAAGAGGAATCTCTTGCCTCTGCCGGGAATCGAACCCCGATTTCTTGATGTTCCAGTCCGTAGCTCAGAATGAGGATCATAGGAGGAGAAGAGACGGGAATAACTGAAGGAACGCAGAGGAATGGAACGGTTGTTATGAATGTTTGCTTCTGAAGGCGCATATGATTACTGTCGCGTGGGTTGCTATGCCGTGTAGTTTGGTAGAGGGGCTTGTGTAAACCAAAGTTTCGGAGGAACTTCCTACCTACATCTTCAGGGCGACAGTACGTGCCTCCAAAACATTGATAACTTACTACCTGACTGCACGGCTGTCATACCGAAAGATAGTCCTTACATGCGCTCGGAATGTGCTGCTCCCNCTCAAACAAAGGCAAAGGTCATTCTTGAGCTTCAAGGTGAAGTGCACTGTGACAAGTGCCGCTCTTACGTCACAACTGCTCAGTGCAAACTGTGTAAACAGGCTGTTGCCGTGAACATGAAGGTTACTAGCGTCTGAGAAGGTACCGCCTCCATCTTTAGTGTCGAAACAAGCCACACAAGTAGCAAGAACTTTGTTTTATTGCTAGTGGGGTGGGACTAAGTCCCCTGCACTGCGGCCACTTCTGGCCTATTGTACCAGCCCCATATGATATGTGAAGGTGATTGTGGAGCAATTGGTGAACTGAAGATTGGCAGGGGAAACCGAAGTACTCGGAGAAAACCTGCCCCAGCGCCACCAGACCCGGGATCGGGAAGCCAGCGACTAACCGCTGGAGCTATGGCGTGGCCCGTGCATTGCCGACAGGTCTAGTTTCCTCAAAGCGGCCTGTAACCCATCATTTTCGTCCGAGGCTGAAGACTAACTCTGTGAAGGGGCCCACCGGCGTCTGGTTCCTTAGTTTACTTTGTCACCTGATGAAGGAATCAGAACGAATTGCCAAAACGCTTTGCTCTGACAATAAATTGGCACGTTGAACAATGTCAGAATGTCAGGCAGGGCGGAACCCAGGGGCGCCCTCTGAGACCGCCACAGGACGCCGTCAGTCGGTGAGACAGTACGTCAGTGAGCGGTGAACTGGAAGGCATTTGGAAGGAAATGATCGTGGCATAATCTGAGGAACTATCCTGGTATTCGCCTCGGGGGACTGAGAAAAATCACGGAGATCCTCAGGAAAGGAGGTGTCAGGATTGATATATGAAACCTGGACCTCTGGAATATGAAGAACTACAGATGAGAGAATGCTTCCTTCTTGAAATGTTGGTCCTTCTGTTTTTAGTCGATTACTTCTCTATATATTTTTCCTTTTATATTCATAAATTGGCCTCCTTTAGCTGAATCTTTTCTTTCCATTAAGGAAGAGAATGCGAATAAAGAAATGTTCTCTGTGACATTAAACGTAACCAGCTCCTTCCGGATCCCACTTCTTTTACGATTAACTGTAATCTTCTCGTGTTACGAAGCAAGACATTTTAACAGTGCAGTCTCATTAAACAGGCTAGAGGCAGTCAGTTATGACGAAGTTAATGCCTTTGGGAAAGATAAATAAAACGAGGCTTGACATAATCAACTTAAGAGCAAGTTCGTGACAAGGGAATTTGGTGCCGGTGCCTCATTGGTTTTCACACAGCAGAACATTCGCACGAATCGCCGTGCAGATTGGGCAGTTGCTTCGACACGCCTCTTATGTGGAGCACACGAAACCTTATGATCAGGCGTTGACCCATACCCCCAGGGAAAGAGCCCCACCCCGTGCCCCGGTACCCATTGGTTGGTTGGCTCTTTCCCTCAGACTTTCGTACTAATTTCTCTTCACTCCCATAAGCCCTCCATGCCACACCTACCCTCTGACCCTTCATTCGATCGTGATAAACTCTGGTGAGAGGCACAAATTATGAAGCTCCATGTTACGCAGTTTTCTCTTGGCTATTCCTCCTCCAGCCCTCTAACGCTACGTTTCGAACGACGTCGTCTAATAACCAACGGATAAACACAGATCCCGCTACACCGAGCCGCGTAAATCACTGCTATGTCCTCAAGATGTTATTTCTTTAAGCCGTATTATAAGACTAATGTAATACCCGTTGAAAATTCGACGGAAGGTCTTCCACTTTCATTCTTTCCTCTATCAGTTTCTTACCTTCACTCCTTCACTCCTTGCTCCCTTATTCCCCTCTAATCCTTTTCATATGTCCATCGGCATCCCTGTCCCGCTTCCTTCCTGCCTCTCCTTTACATTACACCAATGTAGGTAGAAGAAAACGCTGGAAATACATCGTTCCAGGACGACAGAAATGAAAGTGTCAGTCGTGCTACGAACAATGTTATGTCAGCGTTTTCTTTCAGGTCCGCGTCTTGGTGTGTGCACACGCACATTCTGTACAATATCCCGAGACATGTGCATTCGATGTCGGCAGGTGCTCGGCGCGGTGTGTGTCGGCCTGGTGGGCTACTATGGCAACCAGTACTACTACGACACGGCGATACAAGCGGCCGAGTGGGCAACACTGGTCCTCAAGCACCTGGTGAAGATAGAACATGCGGACCTAGCGAAACCTGTCACATTCTTCCTGATTGCGGCCTGCGCTTGTCTCATTAACACACTGTGCTTTCTCACTGCCTGCACACTCTCCCCCATCACGGCCCTCATGATAACCAAGACGGCATACGTAAGTCTTACATCAGTCACTACACCCGTCATGATTGTCCGAAGCATCAGTCTTCAAAAGTGTCTTAAATAAGTAAATGCAAGAACAATCACCTCCGAGCATGCCTTAAGTAAGCAGATACAGCCTCTGTAATCTCCGAAGATGCCTTAAGTAAGGAGATAAGCCTCAGTAATCTCCTATGTTCCCTTTAAGAAAGAACACACAACCTCAGCATTTTCTACAGATGCCTTGCAAACACAATTTAATTATCTCTCGTAAATGTACAGAGGCCCCAACAGAATCCAGCAGATAGGGGACTGTAGGGGCCGATCTGGGCTCAGTCAAGTCCATAGGCAACCGCCACTGTGCTGAGTTAATCTGGTTTATTACAACCGAAGTTAGGATGACGTGTTGATCCTGCAGGACGAAGGACAAAAGGAAGGAGCACTAAGGAGACTCTGGAATAAGAACTTGAGGCCGGTACAGAATACTAATTATCTAATCCCTAAATGCGAAAAGAACACAAGACGGTGCATATTTTGAAATTCTAGAAGTTGACTATGTCACAGTGCAGGCCGGAGGATATGTTTCAATTCAGGGATAATGGCTTTAGCGCTGAAGAAATGAAATTCACGGCCAGCAAAGTTTAAACTAAGCTTTACAATTTTGCATGCACATTCTCGTCTCGAATGCGACTTCTTATCTTGCCCTGCTTCTCTCTGCCGCCAACAGAAAAATAATATTACACAACACAACACATTATTTGAGCTTTACAGATAATACCCAGGCCGCGATAAGGGCATACAGCGCAAGTCGTCACAACATTAGCGGATGTACCTTAAGATAAATATCTTTCAATGAATATAAGATCTAAAAGTTTGTGACGGTGTTACAGTAATGCAATTACTGTGCTTCTGGACACTGTCCGTCGTCCTGTTTTTATTTAAAACGCACACTGTTTCAAAGACTGGATTCTGTCTGTCTTCAGGGTAAAACGCACAGCGTTTCGGAGACTGGATTCTGTCTGTCTTCAGGGTAAAACGCACAGCGTTTCGGAGACTGCATTCTGTCTCCGTCTTTAGGTCCTATCTTGTGTTGGTGTTGGTGTCCGGAGACAAGGACTAGCTCTACCGATTGGGCCCAACTGAGCAGATTCCACCTGAAGACGGAGACAGAATCCAGTCTCCGAAACGCTGTGCGTTTAAATAAAAACAGGATGATTGATAATGTCCACAATCATAATAACTGTGTTTCAATGCACAGTTGCCGACTACAAGGTAAAATTTAAGATGTTTTAATTTTAATTTATATTTCCAATGTTAATTTAAACTTCATGTTTTAATTCATACCGAATACCGCGTTCGCACGCGCGATATGCAATTTTAATATGCAGTGGAACAGTTTTGGCAAAGTAGACGTGCACGGCCGAAACATGCAGTGCTAGAGAAGTAAGACAAGAGTGTAAGTTGTAGCAGAGACGGAAATATATGTATGCAAAATACGTATATACTTCAATGCAACAGGACGCTTCATAAAACCACGACCTGCCTTTGCGACCAGTCGCTAGCGACGGTTTTATCAAGCGACTTACACGTCTGTGTTGTTGCAGAGCGTCCTGTACCATTTCGTGGCATTCGCCCTGTACCTGTCGGCGTCCGTGACGCTGATTGTGTCCATAAGCAGAGAGGACATCAGGAACTATCGAGACGGACATTACTACGAGCCCTTCATGGCTGCGGGGGTATGTACAGGCAACGGCGTCTGGCTCTGATACTACTTACTTACTTACTTGTTGCCGCGCCACGGCTCAAACGGTTAGTCGCTGGCTTCCCACCGCGGTGGCCCGGTTTCGATCCCGGGTCTGGTCAAGAGGGATTTGTGGTGGACAAAGTGGCAGGTTTTCTCCGAGTACTTAGTTTTCCCCTGCCAATCTTCATTCCACCAATTGCTCCATAATCACCCTCACCTATCATCAGGGGCTGGTACAATAGGCCACAAGTGGCCGCAGTACAAGGTACTTAGTCCCACCCACTAGCAATGAAAAAATACTTACTTACTTACTTACTTACTTACTTACTCACTCACTTATGGAGCTGAGTCCTATCTGAGAAGCCGCCAGTTGCTCAGCTACTCAAGAATTTCCCAGCATTTTATGGAACCCGAAAGTTCATTACCGTGTTCACAAGAGCCTTCCACTGGTCCCTATCCTGAGCCAGATCAATCCAAACCATACCATCCTATCCTAACATTGTCCACCCAAATTGTGATTCTGTAGCGACGTGTGTCACCGTGACACACCCAGACATGTTTAGGCACAGGCTAGTCTTTCTTATGTAAATGTGTTTTTCGTTGTTTCCAGATCATTGGAGTTATTGTAGCTGCTTGCTACCTGCTGAGCATAGCTGTCTCCTACAGATCACACGCGCCTGACGTTTAACCTCTCAACATCAGGCCGGAACAATGCAGTCACTCCTGTGGCCCAACAAAACAATTATCGACCTCGAAGAATTCCGTATTCTGGGATGTGGCGCCGTGGAACCGCTGGTTCCTTGCTCGCGGATTTTTTTTCCCTGAAAATGGAGGCGATACGTTCCTCCGAATCGGCGGTTCACACAAGATCTACACGGCGCCACATCCCAGAAGACGGCATTCTTCATAGTCACCGCCGTGAAAACCTCTATCCTGCATAATTACCGACCAGCTCACGATGGTGTTCGAACAATATTAATATCAAGCCGGGGGTAAAGCGGCCGGGGCGTGACGCTGGCCACTCACCTCCAGCTAGTGCTAAGGTCAAGAATATGTGGATTTATGCATCCACTCCCCTACACGCCTTCATGGCAGAGTGCTTAATTAGTTAAACATAGAGGCTACTTTACAATTTTACTTTTACCCCCAATCAATATTTTTGCTTTTAGTGCGCTTTCGCAACGAAAATTTGTAAAAACATATGACAGTCATTTGGCTGTCAGTCCGTTCGCGTGCCGAAACTCAATAAACGATGAATGTCAGGTGACATTTTGTTGCAATGTGACGAACGGACTCTTCATGAGGACACCCACGCGCGTTCCTGCGAGCAGCTCGCTAAATATTTATCGGAACGAAAAATATTCCGAGGAAAAGTTGCAGAGAAAAACTGAATACACGTTCCATGCTAACCACTTTCCCCGTTGGCCTTGCACTTTCGCAGATAAGTAAGAAAACGTGAGAGCTAGCAAATACGCCTGAGTTCTTACGTTGTGTATGCATTTCCTAACTTGTTGCGTTCTCATGCACATAAATATGAAAAGAATGAAATAAATACTGATGCAGGAGTCAGAGAAGTCGAAGCGCTGATTTCTGTAATGTAATGGAGTTGGGTCGGTCCTGGGTTCGGTCTGATAACATTAATTTGAGTCCAGGTTTCTGCGTCCTAAGCAACGCAGTAACTCCTTATGGTTAGGCCACATATCTGACACGGGAGTACTGTGTGTTGCTTCTGATTAAGCTTTGTTTACCGCGAAGTGAGCTACAGAAATTGAAACCTGAGGAACTGAGAACATGGACGCACTGTTACTGTAAGTTCAACAATACAGGCACGCCTCGGAGATAATGCAGGTTCGGTTCCTGGTCACAGCAATAAGCGAGTCATACGAACTTCTTGGTTTCCCAGTGCATATATAATTTATATTTACACTGCACTGTAGTCTGTTAAGTGAGCAATACCATTATGTCTAAACGCAATGTACCTACTTTAATTAAAAATACTTTTTTGCTAAAAAATGCTAACCATCATCTGAGCTTGAGTATGAGTATGAGTATGAAGGTGAGCCATAAAAACGGGCCTTTGCACTGCGACCTTCAATGATCTATTGTGCGTCCCCTTTGGATTAACCCTTTATTAATCCTACACTTCGAATGAAAGGTAGGACTTTGTTTGCGGGGGCGTCACAAAAGTCACTTGGTTCCATGAAGAACTGACCCATGTGGTGATATCTTAGGTAAACTATTGCCTCACAATCACATAAGATGTGTGTGGTTGATTCATCTTCTTGTGGGCACCTCTCACAAGTTGGGTCCTCTGTCAGTCCCAGTTTGGAAAGGTGCAATTTTAGGTGGCAGTGACCAGTAAGTAATCCTACCGCCCATCTGAGTTGATCTCTGTTTAATTTCAACAGATCCCTCGTTCTCTTGGCAGAGGGTCCTGATATAAATCCCTTTGCCTGTTCTTTATCTGAGGTTTCAGCGAGTCGTAATGTTTCTGCTGATGGGGCGTCTTGCCCCGATGCTGATGTCTGCCGACTGATCGGGGTGGGGCAATTCCTTAAAATGAGACAACAATGAACTTTGCCGAATACATCGACCCTTCCTTTCAGAACACACGCAATAAGTTCGACGTCTCATATGGGCGCGGTTCGTGGCGGCCCAAAACAATTAAAGTACTAACATCAGAGATCACTGATCACAGATCGTCATAACAGATACAATAATAACGAAAAGTTCGAGATATCGAGAGAATTACCAAAATGTGACACAGAGACACGAAGTGAGCATATGCTGCTAGAAAAATGGCACCGACAGACTTGCTGGATGCTGGGTTGCCAAAACCTTCAATTCGTAAGAAAAAGCAACATCTGCTTGGGGCAATAGAATGAGGTAGGTCTGTATATTTAAGCAGCTGGGTAGGCCTGTATATTTAAGCAACTGTTTAGAAACGCTCGATTCTGAGTGTATAAAAAGATACGAAGCTTAGGAAATTTATTTAGTGATTTATTTATAACATGACGACTTGGGTCGTCTGGGCTGTAATGCCGTGTAGTTTGGTAGAAATGCATCATCTCCATCTTCTGGACTTAAGAACAAACCAAGCAAAAAACCCGGCAATAAGCAGATGACATGCGCAGTTTTTACTTGTCCTGTTCTTCGGCTCTGAAAATGGAAGCCATACGTTTTTCCGAAACGTCGGTGAACTTTACCGAACTACACGGTGTTACAACCCGGAAGCCGGGTAGGCCTCATAGCCGGTCTGGACACGGTGGAGTAGAAATTATGTGTATGTTGCCCCTCAGGGAGTTGAACCTCGATCCCTTGGTAGCCCAGCCCGCAGCCTATTCGCTATACAGACTGAGCTACCCCGGACCCATACCGATATGTAAATCCAGAAGCGGTCATGATGTCCGGCCTTCGGGAGAGTCGAACCTAGAACGTCCCGTGACAGACGCGGGGCGGACCAGCCCAAGCGCTGGGCGCTCTCTTGAAGCGGTCAGTATCGTGCGAGCTAGCTGAGCGCGCGGGCGGGCGTGCCATGGGCGAGCTGCAGCAGGGCGACATCCCGTGGATGGGTAAGTGCTTGTGGAAGTGGGCCCGTAGCACGCATGCGGGAGAAGATAAATGCATGATGGATTTTAGTGGGAAAGCCAGAAGGAAAGAGACCACTGCCAAGACCTAGACGTAGGTGGGAGGATAATATTAAATTAGACCTTGGAGGAATAGAATAGAATAGAACGGTATGGGTTGGATTGAACTGGCTGTTCTGAACACAGTAATGAACCTTCGGGTTCCATGAACGGTGGGGGATTCTTGAGCAGGTGAGCGACTGTCGGCTTCTCAACAAGGACCGAGATCCATGGAGTTAGTCTGTTGGTTAGTTGGCTGGCAGCGCCTAGACTATTCAGCGCCCAGTGGTGGGGTCAGTTGGAGAGGTTTTGCCTAAGAGAGGCAGTTACTGTCCCTGAATGTAACCAGACGGGCTGAGGAAAACCACGAAGAACTAATGAAACGATACACATACAGTCAGCACGAGTGTCTCATAAGTCTGTTTAGAGGCAAAGAGGCTGAACTACTTCTTTCTGGCAACTTCCGCAAGAAGAAGAAGGGTGGCGGGGGGAGGGGGACGAACAGTTCAATACACTGCATTTACCGGCAGAACATTCTCAGGTCTGAAGGTTCCCAGAAACAGCTCGTTAGGTCTTCTGGTTAAATGTGGGTCGATGAGAAGGTAAAGCGTTGGGAATTTGGCTGTTCTGTTGTCACGCAGCGAGGGGTAGCTGATCAGGGGTGAAATTCTAAGTGTCATATCCACGGGCGGCAGATCCACGCTCCTCAGTGACAAGACTCACCCATGCAAGCAACAGCGATAACTCTAGGAATAATATTTAAATAGAACATGTGATACTGACAAACATAACATCAACATACCAGAGGCAATTACTGGACACACATGACTCGCTCCTCCTGATAAGATTGACCCTCCAGTGAGTCCTACCTGTCCCACATTCGCAAACCGTTCGTTTTAGATCCATTTTAATATTACCCTCCCATTTACACCCAGGTCTGCCGAATGTTCTCTTCCCTTCAGTGTTAGCGATTAACATTTTACACGCACGTCTCATCATTCTAATGCGTGCTACATGTCTCAATCATTTTATCTCTTTTAATTTGATCACCATAACAATATTCGGTGACGAAAGCAAATTATGAAGGCCCACATCCGACATTCTCAAGCCTCGTGTTAGTTCCTCAGCGCCATGTTCTCAAAACACCTCCAGTCTACGCGTTTGCAAGAGACCAAGTTTGACGCCCACACAAAATAACAGATAAATTATAGTCACCTTTCGAGACAGTGGACAGGAGCACAAAGGGTTCGGAGCTGGATTACAGAAAACACCGTCTGAATTTAGTTTCTGTGCGTAATGTTATCCTGTGATGCGCTGGCACTTCCTCATTGGTGTCACCAACATGGCGCCATCCGCACGACCAGGCTCCGTGGGCAGGTGCCCGCTCCAACCTCGAAACCGGTTTACACATCAGTTCGACGGAAAACTGTACGTAACGTTTACAGCTGTTCTGGGAAGAGCAGATCCTGCATGTACACGCTGACAGTTGCAGTACTAGTTCTGCTCGGGAATCAAACCTCTTCTGGAGACGGGCCAGCTCGCGGCTTGCATGACCCCGTACAGACGCCGTGTAATTCTGTTGAAAGATACCAGGGTTTCAAGGCAACCTGCTGCCTCCATCTTCCTCTTTTTTTTTTTCTTGGCCCCAGTGGGCCTAGGCAGAAAAAATCTCCTTAGATGTGTTGCTAAATAGGATAGAACGAAGAGAGGGTTTCGGAAGAACCAATTGCCTCCATCTTCAAGACAGAAGATTCTTCTCAGATATGAGGCCATGCAATTTGACAGAAAGATACCAAGGGTTTTGGGGAACCTGCCGCCTCCATCTTCAAGTTAGAAGAACCGTGCGTGATATGACGCCGTATGCTTTGGTACGTAGGCACAAACGTTTCGGAGTAACACACTTCTACCACCGGGCACGGATCCAACCGTGCAGGAAGAGTCGGGCTAGCGACGGCTGGAGTGGCCGGGTTCCATTCCCGGCAGTGCTAGTTTCTCTCTTCACAGCGTCCAGTCCGGCTCTGGGGCCCACCCAGCTTCCTAGCTAATGGGTACCGGAGGTTGTTTCCTTGGGGACAAAGCAGCCGGGTCGTGAGGCTGACCTCTCACCTCCATCTAGTGCCACGGTTATGAATGCTGGAGCTATACCCCCACTCCCCCATACATCTTCATGGCGCGGTGCTTGCTGACGCATAGACAGCTTTACCTTCTTAACGTTTATGCGTCACACTTTCGTGCTCCTCATAAAACGGCCGGAGAGACTTCTCGAACTCGTCTGCATGTAACGCCCTCCATGTCTTCACGCGTTCTCCCTCTCAGCTGCGTGGGTTTGATTCCGGGGAATAAGAAAACGTCTGGTGGGGGGGGGCTGATTTAATTCTGGAGTCCCTTGTTTTGCCACAAACTGCTTTACTCATACTGCGGTGTGAGGTCTCGCCTTGTTATGCAACAACATCCCGTTTCCTCTTTCCTGGAACTGAGGTCTTACTCCACGAATTCTTTGAGCCGGATGCGACAGCACTTCCTTACTCACCGTCCGACCCGCTGGATCAAGTTCTCTGTGAGTAAGATCTAAAATTTCCTGAAGACGGTACATTAGTGCAAACATTACCCATCGTCCTGTTTTTATCTAAAAACATTTTCCTCTTTTATTTTTTAAAACACAACGTTTCGGATATGGATTATTTCTCCGTCTTCAGGTAAAACCTGAGATAGGGTCTAGCTCTGTCGATTGGGCTCAACTGAGGAGGTTTTACCTGAAGACGGAGACAGAATCCGGACTCCGAAACGTTGTATTTTGAAAAATAAGGAAGACGGTTTTTAGATAAAGACAGGACGATGGGTAATGTTTGCACTCAATTATTTGTGAATGATTTCCACACTGTCGAGGAATGTAACCAACACCACTTTCTTTTTTGCTTTTGAAAACCAAAATTTTGTTTAATGGCGAGCCTGATGACGTTCTCTGATCACAGCGTCAAAATGGCAGGGCGGTATGAGGAACGAAGCGGTCGTGGCCTATTTTGAGGCATATATGTCTGGAGGAACTTCGGAAACCTAAGCAAAAAGAAAACACTCAGCATAATCCGAGTGCGTGTTGATTCCGCTCCTCGGCCTTTTCACCGCGTGAATGTGGCCAATGTTGATGCCTCCATCTTCAAGGTCGAAATGAGTTGGGTGAACCAAGCCAATAGTGGCAGTAGACAGGGAAATATTATCAAAACGACCCATTTTATGGTCACCGAGTGCACACCGCGCAAATCCACACGGCGCAACGGGCCAGCAGAAGCACTGAACCACTCAGGATAAGAGAACCCGACGTTTCGGAAGAACTAATCGCCTCCACCTTCAGGGTCGAAGAGTAAGCAAGAAACTAGCATGAAAGCGGGTAGCAGACAGACATGAAGACGGAGTAACAGTGCTGCCAACTGAACCGTTAGACGAAACTGGGCCGTCTGAGGATGATTTGCAGAAACACCAGTAGCGGCGAGTTGGCGGTGCCTGTGGGCGCCGAGTGGAACGGGGAAAGCAGTACAAGCCGACATGACACGACAGATCCTGGGCCCCAGTGGCGGACGCAGACATTCACGATGCAAGGCAGGACACGAAGGCCCGCCACTGGACACAGTTCTGAACCAGCCGACTCAGCCAAGCTTAGTTTTATTATTCTCCAATCTCATTCTGAACATTTCAGGCAGCCATAACTAAGTAACACGTCCTGTGGGCTCTTGTGGACACGGAGCTCCATAAAAGGAGAGAACTTTCTTGACAAGCTGAGAGACTGTCAGCTGTTCTTTAACTATTTAACAGACTCCGTAGAGCTGAGTCCTGCTTCAGAACCTGCCAGTCGCTCAGCTACTCAAGAAATTCATCGTTTATGGAACCCTAAGGTTCATTACCGTGTTCACAAGAGCCTTCCACTGAACCCTATCCTGAGCCAGACGAATCCAATCCACACCATCCCATCCTATCTCTCTAAGATCCATTTTATTATTGTCTACCCACCTAAGCCTTGGTCTTCCCAGTGGTCCTTTTACTTCTGGTTTTCCCACCAATGTCCTGTGTGCACATACCTCACATAAAAGATTTCTGTTGTTGTTGTTCATTATTGTTTGGGGGGGCATTTTACAACGCTGCCAGTGGCCCAGCCTGGAAGGACTGAGCAAAACCACGAAGAACCTCAGTATAGGCGGTGTCCCAGCCGAGATTCGAACCGAACACCTGATGAATACGAGTATGCTTGAGATTCTCACAGCGGCAGGGCTCTGCTTGCTGATTCATGCTCGGCTTTTCTTAGATCCTGATGATAGAAGCGATATGTTACTCCGAAACGTTGGTTTACTTTCAGTGGACTACATGGCGTTATATCCCAGAAGTATACAACATGACCGCTGAGCCAGCCTGCTGGGTCCTAGCTATACACACTCAGACATACTTACACATGGCTGGCTTCGTGATAACGCCTTTTTATGATTTGTATCACAAAGCAAAATTTCGACACTTAGGCCGAATGGCGCTCGCGCTGCCATCTGAAGGGAAGAGAGACTACAAAGAAAAAACCAGACTTGTTTGCATGTCCAGAATCGATAATAATTATGCGACATTTCAATTACCGAAACTATTTTCCTACTAAAAACTGTTTGAAAGGGAACACCTTTCTCTTGCGCCTGTTGCAGATAATTCGCGGGAAGTTGGCAGCAGATATAAAAGACACGGCTAATTGTTGTTTAAAACGCCTAAATCTGGGTGAGAGGCGTAAAACGAACACACTGATGACGTAAGTAAGCGAGATGGAAAGTTTGCTAAGCGGGCCTTGATGGCCGGAGAGAGAGACAGTGTCAACACAACTACCAAGCTGGCCGGCCTCACCGTTAGCGCATTGTTATGACAGCAGAACCTGTTCTGTAGTTCCAAAGCAAATATCGCAAACTGAAGTTACTGCAGTGATATCACGCCATCTGTTGCCCAGATTGGAGTGCTCAGCTGGTTTCCCCATTTCGCCCACGCAAATGCTGGATTTGTATCTTGAAATATGTCAAGACCGATTTATATCACAGCCTTGGCAATCCATACTTCACAATCACACGGCGCTCTGTAATTTACTCAGTTGATAAATTAATTAAGACTCAACCACTGCTTTCCATATGTAAAGGTAAAGCTGTCCTTGTAACAGGCCGTGGAGGCCCATAAGGTTCTGAGACGTCGAGGCCCCCATATTTGCTCGACAGTCGGCTCACAGATGGTCAGCCCTACGCGCCGGGCACTCTTTATCCCCAAGAAGCTTCCTGGTACACGAAAAGGACTAACTAATCCCAAGGAGAGAACTGTTTTTTTATAAGCCGAGTCCCCCATGTGCTCAAGAAATTCCCGGCCCTTCATGGAACCCAAAGTTTCATTACCGTGTTGACGACAGTCCTCGTACCTTCACTTGCTACAAGCCATGTCTGTCTTTTGTAATTAGATAATTATATTTTGTAAACTTAATTTCTTCCTTCTATGACTCTACAGCCCTTTGGACCTAGGCCGCTTTTTCAGTGTCTTAATATATGCACTATCAGTAGCACACCTTGGACGGGGGATCAGCCTGTCGCAAGGCCTCTACGTACATACAGAACAACATAAACACAAAATAAACGTACATAGGCATCCATACCCTGAGGAGTGGGATTCGAACCCAATATCCGAGCGAGAGAAGACAAATCATGCCGTAGACCGGGCGGCCACTGGGTTCGGTTGTCGTCGTGTTTACACTTCGAGACTTAGATATCGCTCTACTGTGAAGTTGCTGTCTTCTGGGATGTGACGCCGTGTAGTCTGGTATATAAATGTTTCGCAGAAACCTGCTCCCTCCGTCTTCACAGCAGCCTACCCTGAAGAGGTACCAAGTTTCTGCTTAGTTTCAATCACACGCGTGTCCGAGAAAAAGCAGAATTGGTCTAGCGTGTAGGGCCTGAAGACTACCCGGGGATATATCCCAGGTCTCTCAGGGACGCGACAACGCGACAAGCTTCCATTTCACGAGGCGCCCCAACACTCGCATGCAGCGCTGAATATAGGGGTCAGTCTTCAAGTACATACTTTGCTTCCGGGCCTCTTGAACGCCTCGATTTTGTCTCAAAGCAATTTAACCACGACCCGTGCCAGCCCTGAAGGATAGGCAACTGTGTGGTACACGGAAGTCTCAAAGTGACATGTTATTATAACAGCTGACTAGCGAATAGTCAACACCTCACCACGCGGTGATGAGTCATCACAATAGCACTACTTTTAGTTGCTACAAACAGTTTCTCGAGGCAAACGGTAAGTCTGAGGGTGACTCATGCAAGAAACGCCACATCAACATAACAACAGTTAAGCACGTAACAATTGGGAAAATCGTGGGAAGCGGTGTTCCCTGAGGATCCGTGCAGAGGTTATATCTGAAGATGGTCCCGTGGTACTCGGAACCAAGAGTCATTGTGCTGGCGAGGGCCAGGAGCAATTTAGCAGGCAGGCTAAGCAGTCAGTCACCAGTGTAGCGATAGTCTGCAGTAAGACAGACAGATCAGTCTGAGTCTATTGTGAGACGGTCGCCCCTAGTGGAGATAGAGAAGCCCCCCACTGTCGTAAGTCGTTGCGTAGCAACGCCTAGTTAGTTGTGAGATAGGCAACAACCGGTGAAAACACAGCAGACTAAGGCTGAGTGCGTGCTATAATGAACTGCATAGAGTGTGGATTAGCGATATCGCTATAGCTACTTGTAGTTATGTTATGTAAGGCTTCAATAAATCCGATTCCCAATACAAACCCCGTCTATAGTCACTCATACACGTGATAATATGCACAAAATACAGATTAGTGCTCGTAAAGGAAATTATCCCGTTTCTTGCAAGTCACATGGCACACATAACGGAAAGCTTTATGTTTAGGCAAAGTTACACATTGTTACTGCTGTTGCTTAAAGGGTTTAAACAGTATTAATTTCAACCAACTGCTACTGTACAATTGATTTTTCTTTATTTGGTTGGGATTTTCCCATTAAAACACGTGAGAAAATAACCTTCTTAGAACCAAATTCTCAAGGAGAATTTGGCCTCACAAGCAGGAAATGTTTGTTATAGTTCTCATGAACACTGAAACTGCAGGAAGGTCAGTGCTGGCTGCTATAAACAGATACAATGTCTAATGGTAAGCATGAGTGACTGCCATTTTGATTTGATGTCAAGGGTGTAGAAATGCATATACTGTTTAATGAAACTGATAACCTCTTTATAGCATACTTATGGTAAGTAAGTAAGTAAGTAAGTAAGTAAGTAAAGGTATGCCTGTAACAGGCCATGGAGGCCCTTAGGGTTGTGAGATGTTGAGGTTCTCACATTTTCTGGACAATCGGCTCATAGATGGCGGTAAGGTAGTCAGCCTTACACGCCAGCCTTACTTATGGTACTGAAAAGATTTTGCCTGAATCACTCTTTAGTCTGAAGAGACCTATCTTACACGATACATTGCCATGTAATCCATTGATAGTCAATCAAAATGTCTGAGGAATGTGTCACTTCCGCCTTCAGCAGACTACACAGTGTCATATTCCAGAAGCCAGAACTCTTCATAAGCACAATTATGAGAACCCCAAATCCTGCAGTTTGCAGTTCCCTCAGTATTCACCAAAACACTGATCAGTTATGATATCCATTCTGGACAAGAATTGCATCTACTCAACTCAATACTAAACCCAAAACCAAATATCATTAATATGCCAGTTGCTGAATACCAATAGATGAAGCAAATATAAATGGTGGCCATATATTGTTACGAAATGCTGACAGGAATGGCTTATCAGGCATCGGGCCTGCAGTGGGTTCCTGAGGGGGGATCAAAATTGAAAACATAAAGAAAATATACCAAATAATATAAAAAATTATAACTAACAAATTAATTAAATAATTTCATGGAGCTGAGCCCTTCTTGAGAAGCTGCCAATTGTGCAGCTACTCCAGAATTTCCCAGCATTTTATGGAACCCAAAGGTTCATTACTGTGTTCACAAGAGTCCTCATCTGGTCCCTATCCTGAGCCAGATCAGTCCAGTCTATACCATCCCATCTTATCTCTCTCAGATCCATTTTAATATTATCCAGACACCTAGGTCTTGGACTTCCTAGCGGTCTCTTCCTCCTGGCTTTCCCATCAATATCCTATATGCATTCAGCATTGCTCCATTCGTGCTACATGCCCTGCCCATCTCATCCCCTTGACTTGATCATTCTAATTATACTTGGAGAAGAGTACAATTTATGAAGCTCCTCGTTATGCAGTTTTCTCCAACCTCCTGTAACTTCATCTCTCTTCGGTCCAAATATTCTCCAGAACACCCGGTTCTCAAACACCCTCAGTCTATGTTCCTCCCTTAATATCAGAAAGCAAGTTTCATGTCCATACAGAACCACATGTAAAATTATAGTTTTGTATATTATAATTTTTATGTTTTTAGACAGAAGACAAAAGCTTTTGGACTGAATGGTAGTGAGCATTAGCCGAATTCAATCTCCTCTTAAATTCCTCCTGAATCATACAAAATTATAAGTAATGAAAAACGTTCTTCTGTCCTGAATACTCCGGGGCGATCAGTGCAAATACATTGCAGCAGCTTAAATGCAAGTCTGTAAGTACATTTTCTAGCAGATGCAGATGGAAGAAAGTTATATTGATGGTAACATCTGGATGCTGCGATATGAATCCCATTGCAGATGAGGGTGACGAGTGGGGAGCATCAGAGCCTTCAACCCTCGTCATGGAGGTGAGTGAGGGGATGGTCCTAGTAGGCGTGATCGTAGGCGTGTCTGTGGTAGTGATCCTCCTCTTCAGTCTTGGGCTGCTCATTGATTGCAGAACCCGGTAAGTGTGACCTCCTGTTTCATACACCTTGGTTCTGAAAGTTACTATACAACTCAAACAGTACCCAGGGCTCTCTACCCCGAGCAAGTTCAGTTGGGTGAGCAACACTTCTGCTTCATATTCAGGAACAAAGATACTTTATGGCTTTGCTCAGTCCCTCCAGATGAATGCCAGGATAATACCTCAAATTAGTCAAATGCTGATTCCTTCTAGATGCTCTCCAGTTCACTATTCACTCGCCACAGCCATCAGATGCTGCACAGTGCCATGACATGAAGTCAGTTCACTTCATGTCCTCCTCAGATATATCTCCATGTTATAATTTTTATATAACATTTCCTGTGGTGTGAGCTGTATCTCTGTAATTAACTCTTCCAAAACACTGTTAATTGCATTTTATTGACGTAGACATATCTTAGTTTGAAAAATAATCTTCATTACTGAATTATCATAATTAATTAAGCACGAATTGAACTTTATCTTTTTGCCTTTACCATTAAGTCAGGATCTTCACCTCTGTCCTGGCATCTGGCTGGTCACAGAGCAAGGAAGACGAGTTTTAACACATACCATCACAAGAATGAAACACTGGAATTTTGATGCTGCACACACCACATTCAGTGAACTTGCAGTAACAATCACAGTATGTGCCACAGCAAGAATCTGACTTTTATTCACGTTTTTCCAGTTTTGGATGCCACAAAAAATCAGCTCCATTCTGTGCAATTTTCCTATTTGAGCCAATTAGTTCTGGCCCACTGCTGACTCAGAGATTTTTGAGGCAGAAATATTTATGCAGAAAATAGCCCTGAAAAAAACTAACATTTCTTAGAAACAACTTCATTAAATCATTCTTTATAATATTTCAGGAAATCTGGATCTCAATCAAGTAACAGTAACGCTGGGAAAGTAAGTGTGTCAGCAAAACGGACATTTCCGCAATTCATTAGAAACAGTGCACAGAACAACGAGAATATAACATTTGTTAACGAAATGTGTACTGAGAACATCGCGACGATACCTGCAGCATCAAGAAGTACTGAGAACAGCTAGTGAGACAAGATGGTTGGACCAGTGTGTTTTGTGACCGCACATTTGTATATCAGTAATGAAGTGAACACATGACCACATGGACAACATTTGAAGAAGAGTTGCAGGAGACGAGCTGATGAATACTTTCATTGTTTGTTAGGATGATGACGAATAATCTTAGATTGAGTGGGCTTGCATAGAAGTAATGCTCTAGACTTGTATTCAGGAGATATTTAGTTCAAATCTCAGTTGGGGCACAAACTATATTGACTGAGGTATTTTGTTCTCCTCAGTCGGCTAGACCAGGACCACTTCCTGCCACATCCACCAAACATCCTATCATTCATTTTCACTGGCTGCATCCTGTTGTGTCTCAGACAGTATGTAGGAACTCTGCTACCGTCAACACAATATTTCAGTATTACTTTTAGATCTTTATTTACTGCGATGTATTCCCGCCTGATGATGGCCATGTATGACCAAAACATGTCACAGTAAATAAAGATCTACATGTAATACTGAGATATTGTGTTGTGTTGACGGTAGCAGAGTTCCTACACATTATATATTACTCTACCATTCAATGTTATGTAGTCTAGATACTGAGAGTGTCACTAAACAAACCACCAAACCACCAAACCACCAAACCACCAATTAAATTCCCAGCCACAGTTTCCCCCATTTGCAGCAAACTAAACAGAGATCTGTACAAGAAACAGTGGAGCAAATGACCCAAGACTTCCACATCACAAGCCTCTACATTCCACCATACCTTGTCCATTCTGGTGGCAGAAACAACAATTCGAAGGGGCCATGTCTTGATGTTATGAGAGTCTAACTTAAAATAATACATTACTTAATGAAGTTCTATTTGTATCAACTGATCAAACATGAATTTTTACATTCAATTCTATCGTTTCTTTCTTAAAATGTTTACTCATCATCACATTCAAATGTGTGATGGGAGATAACGGTGTGTAATTTACAGTAAGACATCATGGTGAAGTAGTCACCTCTCCTGCTTGGTATTCTCGAAATTCTGGGTTCATCTAGGACAGGAATGAGAGATACAACTAACCTAATTACAACATCTTGTTATATCTTCATTGTGTAGTTAACATTCTGGAAGCAAAATTCAACATGTGAGGTTCTGTAAAATTGAAGTGGGCCAAGTGAAACACTACAACTCGTACATTCATCCAGCAACATTTTGGTTCCAGTTACAATACACGTATATCCTTGAGTGCAGGACCTAAGAAAACATGAAGGTCAAAGATGGTGCCAATCAGTGTCACAGATACAGCAAGGGATGGCAAAGTATATGGTCTTTACTTCCCAGTGAATTGCATAAAAGTACACTGATTGGTTTACACTGTCCATCTGGTCATTAATTCTACAAAAGAAGCTACTTTTGATATGTGTATAACAATTAAATATTACATGTGTCCATAATATTAATTTCAATTTATTTGCAATTTCATCATTTATAACTCTGCCACTATATAAAAATACAGCTTCTCTTCCTCCAGAGACAAAAAGACACACAATAACAATACAAAATACAACTACACCAGTTGCACATTGCAGGGGTAAAGTGACAGACATTTATCAGCACTTCAACATCATAGACCACCAAATTAAACATTAACATTATGAACAATATAAGTTAAATGGAATGTATTCATATATGCTGCAAGTAGCGGAACGAAATACTAGTGAGTGCAGCTGCACAGACAAAGAAGTGGAAATACTGAATATCATTTACATGTTTAAGAACCCAGGGTCAAACAATGTGGACCATTAATGCTCGACAGAAAAGTTTTCAATAACATCCATTCAGAAACTAAATCTGGTCAACTATAAATTACATTCTGTGCCATTCAAGCTTCTCCCAGCCAAGGACTTCTAAGAATACTAACTTTTATGTGAGATGTGATGTCAAGTAGTCTGGAAGATAAATACCTATGTTTCAGAGGACCCTGTTCTATCCATGTCCAAGGTAAAAGGGTGAAGATGGAGACAGAAAGTCCTTCAGACTGTCAGTACCATTTACAAACAGCATGACATCATAGCTTTACACATCACACGGGTGAGAACACATAAGAAAGTATCAGACTGATGCTGATTTATAAAGACACTTCTAACTAACATCATACTGCACTGTCTTATGCATGCAATTTGCTGTTTTGTGGACTATCTGAACTTCAAAAGCCAACTGAATGTCTCAGTGTCTGACATTTATGGCATCCATTTGTTTTACAGTGGTGGGACACAAATAGCTATGCCTCTCAACTTGAATGGTAATCACATGCACTTTTTCATTTGGGGCTACCAACCAATCAGTTAACTACACCATAATTACCCTAATATAGTTACCGGATGTAAAACTTCCAGTCACTGATAAGTGATACGCAATCTTCTGCAACGTAATGGATCTAAACTTTAGAGGTTATGCCACTGGAGCTCACAACCCACCTCAGAATTAAAATCATTTTGCATCAAATTTCAGAAGTGTGCAGATGCATGTTCTGTATATGCTTGGATCTATGTATTATGCAAAAGTTAATGAATCTTAAAAGAATCCATTTAGAACATAATATAACTTCTGGACATTTAGAAACAGTCATGAAATCAGTCACATTTAAAACATGTGTTTATAAAGTTGGCCAACTGAATTTAGAAATTTAGAACTTTGAATCAGCCAAAAGTGAACTCACATTACTATTTTCAATTATGTTTGTGACTGAGAACAGTAGTAACATTATATGCAACTTCATTAACTACAATCACTGAATTATTTAATTAATTTCTTTACTGTGATGTTGGGGATTCGGCTATAAACACACCCGAGAAATGTCTCTTTGATTATACCAATTGTCTGTTTACACCTTCATGTGAAATGTGAGTGGAATGTTGGTAGTATGAAACTTGTCAATGCGACTGAACTATAGTGAACAAGGATGTGGACACATCAAGAAAATCTAAAGGACATTATTTCCACTCAGAGCTTTTGTCTGTGCTGTGCTGTCAATCATCCAGTGCAGCTGCAGTGTGAAGTTGAGCAAAACTCAGGACACTCAACATTTACCAAGAACCATGGCAAGCAAAGCCATGCGAACGTACATGCCACATTCAGCCTGTCGGAAATAAGCTGCCCTCGGGTCAGAATCCAGCTCTGGGCTAATTTCAGACACTCGGGGCAATGGGTGCATAACCACCATCCTGCGCTTTGCCCAGGTCATCAACTGTGGAGTCATCACAAACAGACCACACACCTGAAAATGAAAATAAAGTTACCAGTCATAAACAGGACGTATTTATTATGTTGAAAAGTAATTCAGTTTCATCCATTATTTAAAACAAGCAGAAATACCTTTTCCTTTCCTGGAATATGGTTGCTTTCCTGTCTATATCACAAAGCAGAACAGCTAAAGATTTACAGAGGAAATACCATACAAAGCAAGAAATTAAACTTTACTCATATAATTAAAACAATGACTGGGAGAGAGGATTTGAAATGCACCCAAAACCTTTACTGCAGCGCTCCCTTTCCAACTCAATGAAATGACAGTTGCAGCACCTACCACCAATCCACCCAGTGGAGTTTGTACTTCATGTATTCTATGAACCAAACCACAGAAATTTGACATCAATGTATGTTACATGTTCCAGGACACCTAATCTCTGTGATAAATGGTATATATTTTATAAACACCCTGTATTTAGCAGTTAAGTGAGCCTACTTACGCTCTCATACTCTTCCTGTGATGAAAATCGCTCTCTTTGTATTCGTGTCATGTACAGAACATCAGTTTCTGGAAGGGCTTCTTCAAGAGAGTCAAACTTTTCTTGGGAAATTCCTTTTGAGCCCACAAACTGCACAATGTGGCTGGGCATGCTCAGGCCCTGTGGGCTCACATATCGGATCTGCACATTGTACAGAGTGAGCAACCTGCAAAACACAGAGTCAACATTATCAGTTTTTACCTCTAAATAAATTACATGTTCTAAATGAAATACATTACTAAAAATTACGGGCTTTTTGGACTTTGTCCATCATCCAGTATTCTAGAAACTAGAAAACACAACGTTTCAGAAACCAGATTTGTTTCCATCCTCAGGTGAGCGGGGAGACACCTACTCTGTTGGGTCCCTTAGAAATTGCTAACTTCAATCACCAGACAATCCAGGTCAGGTTCACTACGCCCAGGAATTCTGAGTGTTACACACCGTGGCCAGATCCCTTTAGAACCTACATATATCACTGTTAGTTAAGATTTCAAGCACTGCACTATAAATAAATACAGATGATGATTCAACATTATTAACATTGTACATGCTAATGGTCACATGTGACTGATGTCAGTGGCATGTAGTCTAAGGCATGTACTGTCTACTACTCCTCAAACACTGGGATTGTGAGTTCAAATCCAACTTGGGGCATGGATAAATATCTGAATTTCTTTCATGTTTGTTATCCTCTGTAGGTAAAGGTGTTATGATGGGCTGACCCTCCACTCATGGTGTCTTACCAAATGTCTATAAAATAAGATCCTAAAATCCATAAAACAGGAGGCCTTGAACTACACTGGGCTGCCTAACAAGAAAGCAAAGAAGAGAAACAGGCACACGTATGGTTTTGCATTGACATGAGTGTTGGACAGGAACTAAACAACAAATGGGAAGAAACAGAACCAGCAGAAATGTATAAATCATAAAGTTAATGAATATGTTAAAGGAGAAGTAGGAACATGCATCGGTACAGTGATAAGAAGTATCAAAATAAACATAAGCTAAAGGACAGAAGATACTAAGGACTATGGCTATTCATATCAATAACAAATTTCAAAGTTTGATATTAGGAAAATCCCTAACTGATGTCACCAGCAGACAGGCAGAAACACAGACATTTCAGAATGACCATGTACATAGCACTGAAGTCAGATGAAATGTAAGCCTTTCTCAAATTACATGCAAGCAAAAGGAACAAAATATAAACCCCCCAAAAAATTAAAAATCATACAGAAGGAAACACTGACAAAAATGCTGGGTAAAGTAAGGTCCATGCTGGCCGTGCCATAGCTCAAGTGGTTAGTCGCCGGCTTCCCACCTCAGTGGCCCGTGCTGGCCTATCTACAGTTGCAGTAAAAGCTGCCAGGCATGCCAAGGGAGTTGCACGTGCAGTTTCCTCGATTTACACCTCCACTTTGACCCAGTCATGTCACTTATTACTCCTTCTTCACTGCATTTAGTTGTCAGTGCATTTCCATTTTTGTATTTTCAATACATGTCCTGATTGCCATGAACACAACCTCCACATCTAGTGAGAGTCACCTGCGTCCATCATACCTGGCGAGAGAATGCACTGTCCGGCCATGTTTCAGATCACCAACCATCGTGATGGTGAGTCCATTCACAGTACCGATCTCCTCTCGGATTGTGAACACATCCAACAGTGCTTGAGTGGGATGCTCACCGATGCCATCTCCTGCATTGATCAAAGGTTTGCGACAGTAATTCGCTGCACGCTGCAAAACAAACGTGACCATAGTGTCCTAACATTTACCATTTAAGGCACAATGGCAAGCATATATACCACCCACATGAATATTAATAAACTGCATTCTGCCCACACAGCATATTTATGTGTTCCATATGATTCTCACAATAAACAGCGACTGTTTCCCCAGACAGCATTAACCGGTTGGTCTCTGTAGTGGAGACGTAATGTGTTTCCTGTGAGGTACAGACGGAATTCATATATATAAAGACTCTGCATTCTGCCCACACAGTGTATTTATGTGTTCCATATGATTCTCACAATAAATAGCGACTGTTTCCCCAAACAGCATTAACTGGTTGGTCTCTGCTGTGTAGACGTAATGTGTTTCCTGTGAGGTATGGGCTGGATTTGTATATATGACTCAGATGAATCTCCAGAGGGTCAAATACCAGCAATAATACTTACAGAGACTGCTCCAGGCTCAGGGTGTCTGAGCACAACAACATCTGCATATCCAGCCATCACAGCAATGGAATCTGATCACAGAAAATTCCATCCGTTAACTAAACACATGACATGCAAGCACAATGTACAGAGAGATGCAAGGAAGGTTCAGTAGACTGTAGAGGTTATGTTGCAACATTAACAAGATACAGAGATTGTCGTGAATTATGAAACAGGCAATAAGTGGCAGGAACCAGTCACGGCCTGCTTTCAATAAATGTATGGAGTTCAGAACTAACTGAAACACACGCATGCTGAATGCAACTTTGTACCTTCCAAAGTTTCCCCTTTTTTGACGGACGAGCTGGCCTCATCCATGATGATAACACGACCGCCGAGTCTCTGCATTGCAGCGGAGAAACTGCAGCTTGTGCGTGTACTGACTTCATAGAAGACGGAAGCCATTACCTTTCCCTGTGGCAGTGTAAAATCACGTTATGCAGAAGAGACAGTCTTGAAGTAGTAGCCAGAATTCAAAATAATTTATTAGATTTAGAACGGAAATGACTCCAGTTGTTTGGATGTGACACTGTTCGGCTACCCTGAGGATGGAGGCAGCAGGCTTCTCTGATTCATTTGTAACACTCTACCGAACTACGCAGTATCACACCATGAGCCAGTAATTTAAGGCTATCTTCCATGAAATTTCATCAAAAACTAATAAAAGATTCAGAGGAAGAACATAACATACCAGACCAGAACAATGAGCCTGTAACAGGGTCATTTTATTCAGACATGTACTGAAAACATAGAATGTCTCATGTCAATTCCAACATGGCCATTCATCATTGTAATTACCAGGCGCCTGAACACGAAACTGAAAAGGAAAAAGCCTAGGAGGAAGACCAAGATCAAATGGGAACAGCAGGTTAGGAACAATGTCATAGAGATGGAAGGAAAAACATGGGACACAGGAGGAATGTGAGAAGAAGTTATGGAGAGACAGAGGCAGATATAAATAAAAATATCTGAAGGATGAGCAGCAAGACGTCCATACCTTCAGGATATGGTCTAGAGGCCTCTCTTTCTGCACGGATATCCTGAGTGTTTGTGCAAGATTGAAGATGTCATTCAGCTGGTCCTTAGAGAACATGTCAACGGTAAGAATGTGCTGTCCTGTAAGCCCATGACTGCCGACTGTCATGGGAGAGCCATACAGGTTTGGATTGCTGTCACTTTTGTGGCGAGCCGTACTGCAGAAGGGATTAGGTGACAAGCAGCGAGCTCCGGCTTGCAGCTTCAAATCAAGTTCCGGTGGTGCAAGATGGCCTCCGGTTCTTGTGTTGGTATCAGAAAGCAGTTTGGAATACAAGTCTGGAAGCAAGAACCCACAATCCATTTGCCCACTCCTGGACTTAAGTGACAGAAGAAAAAGTAACCAACAAACTCCATGGACAAGAGACTGTCTTGAGAAGCTCACAGTCTCTCAGTTCATCAAGACGTTCTTCATCTTTCATGGCAACTTTCATTACCACGTTCACAAGAGCTTGCCATTGAACCTTATCTCAAGCCTGCTGAATGAAGTCTATGATTTCACAGTCAATTCCATCATGCCCCATTTTAATATTATCCTCCCATCTATACCTGATGTCATGAGTATCTCCTGTCCTGAGATTTTTTAACCAAGTTCTGTATGTCATTGTCATATCTCCCATGTCTGCTACATGTCTGGCCCATCGCATCCTCCTTGATTTGCTCACCCTAACAGTGCCTGGCAAGGAGTAAAATATATGAAGCCCCTCGCTATTCAGTTCTTGCCATTCTCCTGTCACTTCCTCCCTCTTACGTCCAAATATCCCCCCCAGCACCATTCTCAAACCCTCAGCACCCTGTTCTTCCCTTAATGTGAGACCCCAATTTTACACCCAATTCAATCTGATTCTCTCTGTACGTTGCTCACCATTGTCACCATCCCACATATCATCTGTTCTGTGTCTGTCTACTTCCTTTATTGTAAGTTTTGGAGCAATATCACCAGGTGACACTGGATAGTCAAGGCTGGATGGAGGGCGGCTCGTGTCCAGTCCACTGGGTGCCTGATGGCCGGGGAACAGCTGTTTCCTCATCTGCCACTCTCGCACATCCTGACCAAAGCCGGGGGGCACCAACACCTAGACAGTGAAAGCAGGAGCAACATCTGGCCACAGCTGTGTGTCAAGAAGCTGGTGGTTGCATTCATAACAGCCAATCTCAAGACCTTATCATGAACCAGTTGAATCCAGTCCACACCATCACACTTAATTTTTAAGGCCCATCTCTGGTCCATCCATGCTGCCTACCGTCCATCTGCATGTAATGACCCAAGAACTGCAGAACAGATTTTCATGACATGTGATACTGGAGATCCTTGCTAAACACTTTCCATGTGTCCCAGTTTTGGTTAAAATTGGACAGCTGTAGCAAACACTTTGCATGCAGACCCACCTGTGTTTGTGCAAGCATCTTGAGCATAATTCAAACATTTCAAACACAAGTTTCAGAGAAATATGAAACACAGATTTCATGTTCAGTGCACTTTTCCCATAAGTTCTAAATAAACTAACTAATTTCATGGAGCTAAGCACTTCTCGAGAAGCTGCCATTCATGCAGCTACTCAAGTACTTCCCAGCATTTTATGGCACCTGAAGGTTCATTACCGTGTTCACAATAGCCCTCCACTGGTCCCTATCCTGAGCCAGGTCAATCCAGTCCATACCATCCTGTCCTATTTCTCTAAGATCCATTTTAATGTTATCCACCCCCCTACATCTTGATCCTCCTAGCAATCACTTTCCCTCTGCCTTTCCCACCAATATCTTATGTATTCCTCTTCTCCCTATATCTCCTGCCAATCTCATCTGCTTGACTCAATCGTTCAAATTATACAGTGCGTTCAGTTAAGGAGGAAACTTCGCAACACCACTCACCCGGCCCAACATTCCTCACAGATTGCTGCTGTAACTGCTGATAGCAGAACGAGTCATTAGCACTGATCAACGCGTGCTGTTACAGTTAGAGCAGCAATCCGTGAGGAATATTGGGCCCTGACAGCGGTGTTGTGAAGTTTCCTCCTTGACTGAACGCCCTGTACTTGGTGAAGAATCCGAGTTGTGAAGCTCCTTATTATGAAGTTCATGCTGCATGTCTCATAACTACAGAACTCTGGACTGCATTCACCCTGTGTGTTCTATGCTGTGTACAGGACAACAACAGATGCTGGCATTCACTGACTGAAAATCTAGAGGCAATAGCAATTGTTATGTTATGCATACACTTCCTAACTTGTTACGTTATGCTCCCATAGGAAGTGACGACTCACTCACACTCATGCTAAGAATCAGATACTAACAGCTGCTCAGCTACCACAGAAATTCCCAGAACTTTATGGAACCTGAAGGTTCACACGAGTCCACCAATGGTGCCTATACTGAGTCAGATGAATCCTGTCCACACCTTCTCCCCATTCTATTTCTTTAAGATCCATTCTAATATTATCCTCGCATGTACTCCCAGGTATTTCTAGTGGTCTGCCTCCTTCAGTGCCTCATGCCAAAATATCATGTGCACTTGTATTCGCTTCCATGCATGCTATATGCCATTCCCATCTCACCCTCCTTGTTTTGACTAATTTGAAAATATTTGGCGAAGTGTACAAATTATGAAGGTCCTAGTTATGTAATTTTCCTCTAACCAGCTGTTATTTCCACCCCCTTTGGTCCAAATATCCCCCCTCAGCACTATGTTCTCAGGCACCCTCACTTAGGCCCTCCCTTAACTTCCTCATTCACACAAAGAAAGTGACAAACAAGTCAAAGAGACAGTAACCCCTGTTAAGAGCCATGCAGCAGGGAGCACAAGGTGACAGAAGGCCCTGTGCACTTCCTCTCAGACCCAAGTGTGTCTTCTTACCTGTCCGTCAACATACGCAACTTCACTGCGCACAACAACTCTGTGTACAGCACCACGCACTTTCATGCCAGCAAAAGGTGTCCACCGGGACTTACTGTAAGGCATAGCCTCAGGGAGCACCCACTCCTCTTCCATGTCAACTTCCACGTACGTGTGGGGCTGTTCCGGCAAGTTGAAGATCTTGCGTGGGTTCCGATGGAACTTGTCAATCAGATCCTGCAGAAAAATCATGGAAACAAATGTTAACAGCTGAATGCTAAGTAGTGACATTGCGGTTGAGAGGTTGGCACTCCTGCTTGGTGCCCTCCTCCCCTTGGGAGGGGGGTGGTCCCGGAAACAAATAATCCTGACAGATTACTACTTGATTTTCTCAATGGCGCCAGGGAGAGTCTGTGATAATACCAAGAAGCGTCCGCAAGCACATACTCCAGCAGAAGAGTCAGCAGCAACTCTTCTAAGTCAGCGCACTGCACGCGTTTGCTCTAAGAAAGTGCCCTCTGGAAATCTCACAAGTCCTTAACGTATCCATCAACCATGCCCTTCCATGTTCTTTTTCAATTCACTGGGCACATTCATTCTACAATTTTATGCTATGTTTAACACGGGCACCTCTGTCTGTGCATGTGCGTAGGAGGGGAGGTCACCATATTTTTTGGAAAACAATCAAAAATTGAAATGAGAGAAGGAAATATAATAATATTAATATTACATTTGAAAAGTTATTCTTGTATCCTGAATGCAAAGGGCAATCTATGAAAAATATTTTAAAAAGGCTATGAACCTAAATTTGTAAGCTAATTTTCTGATCCCCCCCACACCTATCCCCAAAAAAGTCATGACAGTGCCCATGCTATATATACACACAATCTATGTAATTGAAGAAGCATCATCATTACACAATCCAAGAATCAATAAACAAATAACGTACATTGTTTTACAGTATTTACACAAGGGCACACATCTGCATGTGTCAATGTAACTTCCCTCGTTTAGCCATCGCAATGGCACTAGCTGATGGACACAACGCATTAACCAAATTTCCATGTACTTGACACTTCATCTTGTTCCGATCCCAGCAATCAATAACAGAATTCACCAGCTTCTGTAAAGTTGCTCCTGTACTTAATAAGCACCGCTATAAAGACTTAGAGGACAGTGGAGGTATAGCTCCATACATTCTTAACCTCAGCACTCAACGGAGATGAGAGGTAAGCTTTAGTCCTGGGCCAATTTACTCCCCCCAGGTAATGAGTCCCTACGGTCCATTGCATAAGAGACTGGGCTAGGCCCCACAGCTGCACTGGACACTTTCAAGTAATGAGACCCTGTGCCCTTGTTGGGGATCGAGACTCAAGTCTCTCAGCCTAGTCACTATACTGACTGAGCTATCACGGCTGAAGATATCAAAACCTCGTAACATATTTAGTGCATTGTGTCTGTACCTCTAATGTCAGTTTCCCATCATGGATGGCAGTCAGCAGAAGTGGCAGTATTGTTTCCAGTCCAGGAAAACCTGGTGGGAATTTCTCACTTGTTTTCTCTTCCACAGTGTGGGGTGCTAATTGAAACAGAAGAACACAACACGGCGATATCAACACACATGCAGGGCGATTAACAGAAATTTAGAAAGTTAAACAAGACTCACTCGCTCACTCACTCATGGAGCTGAGCCCTTCTTGAAAAACAGCCAATTCTGCAGCTACTCAAGGACTCCCAACATTTTATGGAACCCAAAGGTTCATTACTGTGTTCACAAGAGCTCTCCACAGGTCCCTATCCTGAGTCAGATAAATCCAATCCATCCCATCCCATCCTATCTCTCTATGATCAATTTCAATATTGTCCACCCATGTACATCTTGGTCTTCCTAATGGTCTCTTTCCTTCTAGCTTTCCCACTAATATCCTATATACATTCCTCTTCGCCCCCATTCGTGCTACATGCCTGCTCACCTCATCCTCCTTGACTTGATCATTCTAATTATACTCTGAGAAGAGTCCAAGTTATGAATCTCCTCATTATGCAGTTTTCTCCAACCTCCTGTCACTTCATCCCTCTTCAGTCCAAATAGTCTCCTCAACACCCTGTTCTCAAACACCCTCAGTCTATGTTCCTCCCTTAATGTCAAGAGATCAAGTTTCATACCTATACAGAACCAAAGGCAAAATTATAGTTTTGTATATTCTAATTTTCATGTTTTTGGACAGCAGACGAGAAGACAAAATGTTCTGGACTGAACGGTAGCAAGCATTACCTGAGTTCAGTCTCCTCTTATTTTCTTCTTGAATCAGGTAGTTAAACAAGAGAGGAAACTTAAATAAATTTATCAGATTCAAGGATTTCGTTGTGATTATCGTGAATGCCATGTATTTTGCACACAGCCCAACATTGCAGGGTCAAAGGGTAAGCCATGCTAAACACAAGCAGAAGCCAGTAGGGAGGCTGAGCTTTACTGCACACTTTCAAAAAGGTTAGAGGTTGTTCTCAGCTTAATGTCTCTGTCATCCATCGAGTCACAGCAAAATGCCTAAATTCCTCCAATTTTTCCTCCCTGTTCTTGCCAGTTTCTTTTGCTTTAGTTTCAACGCTGAAGATGGAAGTGGCATGAGCCTCCAAACCATTGGGCTCTGTCTGAACTACACAGAATCACAAAGTTTTGCAAAACAACAGCAATCCCAGTTTCAACAGGAAATAACAATAACGATGAACAAGAAGATTACGACAGGTACAGATGTGTCCTTCTGAACAGTCAGACAGGAGTAACCCCTCAACAAGAGGTTAGGGCTGTGGAGTGTGAACAAAAATAATGAACCACCAAGGAACAGAGCAGACTCACCATGATCTGTAGCAAAGACGTCTATTATGTCCAGGTTGTCCCAGAGTGCCTGCTGATCTTCCTCTGTCCCAAGAACTGGTCTCACACTGCCCTTTCTGGGTCCGAGCCTGTCCATGTCCTTCTGAGAGAGGAACAGATGATGTGGGCACACCTCACACGTCACAGGCAGACCCTGCACATTATACAAAATCAAGAATATATCATAACATCTGAAATCACAACATGAATACAGCAGATGGGTCAAGTAATGATGCAGACAATTACTGGCCACAGAATGGATATAACAAGGAAATGGTAAAGGTAAAGCTGTCCCTGTAACAGGCCATGGAGGCCCATAGGGTTGTGAGATGTCGAGGCTCCCACATTTTCTAAAACAACTAGATCACAGATGGCGGTGAGGTCAGCCTTACGTGCCAGCTGCCCTTTACCCCCAGGAAGATTCCTGGTACTCATTTCTGTTAGAGGCTGAGTTGACACCAGGGCCATTGTGCCGTTGGAAGGATTAGGTCAGTTGAAAAAATCCAGTGACCTCATTGGGAACTGAACTCGTGTAGCATTGTGCCTCAACCAACTGCGCTAAACAAGGATATGGAGAACAGCATTAGAACTACAATTTATAGAAATGAGGTTATGGGATGACAAAAGACAAGAGAGCTAACTGGGAAATCATGTACTTTGGAAGGGTTTCGTGATTTTCCTCAGTCCCTCCAGGTAAATGCCATGGCATATCTCAAATCTGGGCATTAGTGATTCTTTCTGCATCCTTTCTATCGGTGCATCGGGAGGGAGACACACACACTGATAATCGTGACAACGATCGCAAAAAAAAAAAAAAAAAAATAAAAAAGTGACTATGTGACGTAAAACAGTTATCACTGATTTGGTCCCCCCCGAAAATGGGTGATGCAGTCACTTGAGAGACACAATCATGCAAGCAAGTATGGTAATCCCATCCAACTGAACTGAACATGTTCTTCACAGAAACCAGTGCTACCAAGAGCTACATAGCTATTGATATAGTTACCAATGTCATCACTTTCTTACTACAAGAAAATAGTGTTATATCTAACACAAATAGTTAACAATGATACACAGTTCAGCTGTATTGTGTACATTCCTCCTGGCGATATCTTAAGATATCTCCTCCTTACACATGTTCCATGTAGCAGATCTGTGTTACAGAAGCATCTTATGTCGGGCGCGGGAAGGGAACAATAACAAATCACATGACTATATCAGTGGTGTCCAGAACATGGCCCACAAAGTTTTCAGTACCAAGAAATTTCAAAGTATTCCTGCACTTGAAAAGACGCAAACCAAACAAAGAATCTGATTCGTAACATAAGAGAGGAGTGAATATGTGGAGCACTGCCACTCTGACTGACCAGTTCTTATGAAGTGGAGCATGCTAGACTTCAGAGACAACTTTGCTTCAGTTATCAAGGGAAACATTAAGTGAGGAGGAACGATACTTTTTAATTTTCTTGTGAAATTTTTGTAATTATTCACTTCCACAACCAGTAACATTGCTTACAAAGACACCTCAAATTTGCCGTTTTTAACGCCTTAACCTTTAGAGGACAGCGGTAACTATAAGTACCAACTGCTTTAACATCCAAAAACTGCATTCTGCCCACACAGTGTATTTACATGTTCCATATGGTTCTCACAGTAAACAGCGGCTGTTTCCCCAAACAGCATTAACCGGTTGGACTCTGTAGCAGAGATGTAATGTGTTTCCTGTGAGGTACAAACTGGATCTGCATATTTCCTCCAAGATACTTGTACCCATCTGGAAAACTACATGGTGCCACATCCTATAATACCTTAGTCTTAATAAATATGTCATGAAAACCTCAAATCCCATCTTTTTATATGGCAAGCATAACAGCCATTAAGAGTTCAACATTAAATCTCCTCATATGTTACATAAGTTTTTGCACTGCTAAGTTCTCCTGCTTTCTCCTGTATTCCTTTGCAGTCCCACATATTGCTGAATGATGTGTTCAAGTCAGTGTTTAACGCCATCTCCACAAAAAACACGGACAAATAGTCAATAATAAACTGTCTCCCTGTTCAGTATCCTGTACTTCACCTATCCACATAAAAACATTAGCAATAAAAAAGTAAAAAAAAGTAAAGCTATCCCTGTACCAGGCCATGAAGACCCAAAGGGTGGCGAGACGTTGAGGGTCCCACATTATCTACACAATCGTCTCACAGATGGCGGTAAGGTTGTCAGCCTTACGCACTGGCCGCGCTTTACTCCCCAGGAAAATTATTTATTTAATTCCTGGTACTCATTTCTGTTAGAGGCTGAGTGAACCCCAGGGCCATAGTGCGGCCAGAAGGATTAGGTCAACTGAAAAAATCCAATGACCTCATCGGTATTTGAACCCACGACCTTCCGACTTGTAGCATAGTGCCTTAATCATAGAAAAGATACAATACATTGAAACAAAAGACTGCCCATTTGTTTGGGAGCTACTACATAATTTATGTTCATGCAATATCTTAATGCTCGGCAATTTGCTGTTGCAGTAACTCAAAACAATGAAATGAAAAGAATAAAACTCATGTTTACAGAATTTCCACATACAAAGATCTGACATCACAACCTCTGAACATGAAATAGCACTGACTACAAGTACAAGAAATTTTAAATATTGGACAACAATGTCTTCCTAAGTATATCCTTCACAAGGCCAAAATTTGAGTACATAATTTTTTTTGTGTGGTGATATCAGTTACACAATCTCAGTGTTCTTGGTAGAAGTGGAATGTTTGGGGTGGGGTTTGTCTGATAAAGCCAGGCAATCACACAATAGAATTCAGTACACTTACTCTCTCACTCCACGCAGCACTCCTTCTTGAGTAGCAAACACCTGCTCACTTTATTGTATTTCAGCATCCTGTTGCATTGATGTCTTATTCTACATATTCACGTCTCTCTAATGCAACTCTGTTCACTAGTGGGAACATACATACTAAGGGGGCACAAGCAAATAACAACGATAACGCCACCATGCTGATATTCATAGGGCTAAACAAAACAACACAGAAAACATGGATGCCACAAGAGGAAAAACAGCACGGGAACAGATAAAGAATTATGTTCTCAAATATGTGTATTTTAGTGGAACAACGATAATGCAATAGCACTGAAATATTCTGACTTTAAGAACTAGTACAATGTTGCAGTTTTGAAAACTGGATGGCTGTCTTAAAGACGGAAGTGAACGCGTAGAATGATACCTGTTCATTTAGTCAAGAAACTCCCCGCCTTCTATGAAGCTCAGTTCAGTACCACATCCACAACAGCCCACCACTGGTGCCTATCCCGTGCCACATAATTCAGTCCACATCCTCTCATTCTGTTTCTTGAAGATCCATCTTAATATTATCTTCCCATCTATGCCTAAGCTTCCTGAAAGTCTCTCTCTTTCATGTCTTCCTTCCAAAACCTTGCATGCATTTCCCTCTCGTGTGTGCTACATGCCCTTCCCACCTCATCCTCCTTGACCTGATCATTCTAATAATACTTGAGAAGTACAAGTTATGAAGGTCCTCATTATACAGATTTGTCCACTCTACTCTCGCTTCCTCAGACACCCTGAGTCTACGTTCTCACCTTATTAAGAGAGACAAAGTTTCACACCCATACAAAACCAAAGGCGAAATTATAGTTTTACAAATTTTGAACTTCATGTTTCTGAACAGGAGCCAAGAAGACGCACAATTCTGAACTGAATGGTAACAACCATTGCCTGAATTTAATCTGTAATTAACTTCTTCATGAATATAATACAGATTTGTTACTGTCATCCCCAAATATCTGAACTTTGCCACGACAATCCACAACATACTTTCTTACGTTAAGGACATGTATCTTCTTCTGAGGAGTTTCTATGGCACCACGTCAGCAGGATTTCAGTATTTCACGTCTTTATTTTTGTGTCTGAGTAACTGCATAAGTGACGTGTCAAAGCTTCTCGAAAAGAGGCATCAGACACCACTGGATAAGTACCCATACCTTCTCCTTGGCAGCTCGGATGATCTGGATCTCTTCTTTACGAGCAACATGGCAGATGTGGATTGGTCGACTATGCAGTGTTGCTAACAGTAAGACTGCAGCTGTAGTTTGACTTTCTGCATGGACACACAGTGGATACTTCCTGGGCCAACTGTCGAAATGCTGTTCAGAAACAGACATTAAACCATTGCAAAACAATCATTATTCCCACTTATTGCCACTGCATTCCATCGCAGACGATGTACGAACAAGGAGTCATGACAGCTCAGTCAGTGCAGTAATGGGCTATGGCTGGATGGCTCAGGTTCCGTTCCTGGCGGTGCCAGATGTTTCATCTCCACAGCATTCAGAAAAACTATGAGGCCTGCCCAGCCTCCTATCCAATTGTTACCAGAGGCTGTTTCCCTGGGAGTAAAATGTTAGGGGCATGAAGCTGACCATTTACCTCTATCTAGTGCCAAGGTTGAGAATGATGGAATTATACCTCCACTCCCTCACATGTCTTCATGACATGCTTAAGTAATTAAGCAACAGGGACAACTGCTGTACAGACATGTCTGTACCTTAAGACTGTGGTTTCTGTGATATAACCCTGAAAATGGAGGCAGCAGGTTTCTTTGAAACACCGCACCTGTCTACGAGACTAAGCAGTGTCATCAAAGGTTGGTCTAGCAATAATGTTCAAGGCTTTCATTATGGAGGAGCTTGTTTCAAATGTCAACTGGGCCACTGGTTATCCTGACTTGAGGCTTTCGTGGGGCTCCTCATTGCCTCCAGGCAAAGGCCAATAAAGTACCCTGATCAGGCTATGACTGCTTCCTTCCACATCCCTTCCAGATCATCAGTTATCCTACCAACCAGTACTACACAGTCTTGACACTGACATCACATCCTGTAAGACCGCAATCTTAACATTCATGCCACAAGAAGCCAGTACCCTTACCTTGCTCCACACTGTCAGATCCTTGAGTGTGAGGGTTGTGAATGTTTCATTCAGGTACATCTTGAGTCCTGCAGCTGACGGAGCCAGGTCCGAGATATCTCCATAATTATCAACTGAAGCTCCCAGGAACAAAGCATAGTCACAGCGAGCTCCGGCGTGTGCCAGCTGCAAACAACAGAAGGGTACCTCACTTCTGGTGAGAAGATTGTTGTATTCTGGGATGTGATACTGCACTGCCTGCTAGATTGTTAGTGATATTTTGGAGGGGTGTACTGCCTCCACCTTTAGAAATATTCTTCTAGCCTGAAGATGGAGGCAGGAAGTGACATCAAAATGATGGTAATAATCCATCAGATGACATAGTGTCACATTTCAGATGACAACAATCTTTACAACTGACATAAGTTTTGCATTTGGTTTCCACTGAAAGACCAAACAAACTGTGAAATGCTGAGCTGCTTAGACTAATTATTTTGAGACATCTATGTGAGCCAGATGAATCCAGGCTGTATCCCCTATCTTATCATCCATGTTCTATCCTAACATCAGGCTTCATTGGGTGCCAACAGTGGAGAAGCAGTTATCTATGTATGTGCCTTTGACTTTCAGGATTTGTCCATGTTAAGCATTGAAGGTTTCTTCAACTCTTTCGAAAACCTTACTTCATGGTTACTGAGGGGAAGGACAGCTCCTGCATAGCTCTCACATTGCAAAGTGCATTGGAGATGATGCTATGATTGCAGGAACAGAGAAGCGACCATGCAATTAGTGAAGAGGACTGTTTCAGGTTAATAAAAAAAAGGCCAGAACATTTTTTACCATCACTTATTGTTAACCACATGTTCACTCCCTATTGGTTAGCATCCCACTCCTCTGTTCATCCAATCATAGCTTCATATCTGATGCACTGCTTAATGCAAGAGCTATATAATCACTCTCAATGTTATTAATCCTGAAGACGGCATCTGCAAGGTTTACCAAAACAATGGAAAACCCTCAACATTTGACACCGAATAGTCACCGAAAATGCCCCACAGTAAACACCAGACGCAACACAAGAAGGACTTAAATTACCACCCACTTACTAACAGCCTTCACTTTAACGTTATCAAGACACAGCCATAGGCACTTACCTCCTTGACGAGTGAGAACGTCTGGTGATCAATCACAGACGGATTGGTGTTAGGCATGGCGAGAATCATGGTGATCCCACCGGCAAGAGCAGCTGAAGTGCCTGAAGAAAAGTCTTCTTTATGTGTTGCACCCGGCTCCCGGACATGCACGTGGACATCAATGAAGCCAGGTAGCTTCAGCATCTGCCTCGATGTCATGCAATCGGTATGCGTCTTCATAGGAGGAGGGGCACGTCCAATTAACTGCAGTGCCTAGGAACCCATTGCAACACTGTCTGTTAGATCTGCATGTGGCTAGAATATGCTTTACAACCAAAATCATCTAACCAACACCACAGAACAGAGGACTTCTTGAGAGAACAACAGCTGGATTAGAGGTTCTCTCTGTGGTTACTGTGAAGCGTACCATCTTCTGTGATGTAATACCACGAAGTTCAGGGGAAATTCATCAATGTTTCAAGGGTATTGCTGGTTTCTTGACTGGCTCACTCATTGATCATGAAGATGGAAACAATACATTCTTCTGAAACATCAGTAAACTTGCACCATTCTAGATGGCATTATGTCCCACAAAATAGTATTCATCACAATAACAGCTGCTCAGCTACTCAAAAAATTGCCTGCTTTGTGTGTAACCTGAAGGTTCATTACAATGTTCACAAAAGTCCACCATTCGACTTCATCCTGAGCCAGATGAATCAACTCCATGCATTCATATCTTCTTCATTTACAACCCATTTTAATATTATAGTTCTAGCTATGCCTGGGTCTCATGGGCGGTCTCTTCTTTGAAGCTTTCTAACCTGAAGGTATTTATTTCACCATGCATGTTACATGCCCCACCCATCTCATCTTCACTGACTTAATCACTCTAATAACATCTGATGAGCAGTACAAGTTGTGAAGTTCCTCATTATGCAGTTTTCTCCATCCCCCTGTCACCCCTCTCTCATATGTCTAAATATTCTCCTCACCACCATTCTCTCACATGCTCTCCATCCGTGTTCTTCCCTTGGGGAGATGGACCAAGCGTCAAATGCATACAAAATACAGATGAAGCTCAGAAAATTACTGTCTTCTGGGATGCAACGTGACACTTTGGAGAAACACGCTGTCTGCATCTTCACAACATGGCCTGAGGCTCAAGGCAACGTATTTCACCGAAATGTCGGTAAGCGTCTAACAGACTGCACAATGTCATCTGCTACAGGACAGTGAACTTCATCTGAAGTCCCCCTACTCTGTCATACCTCGTGTGGGCAAACCTTAGAGGAGAAAAGACCCATGTATGAATGTGTAAATTTACAGCTGGTCTATTAACACCGTAAGTTTGCTGGAAGGAGAAACTAGTTTTATTTCCTAAGAATGATGTCATGGTTACGTCACCAACTGATGATAATGCCCTCTCGTTCCCATAGCAGACGGAGTATAGTCACTTGTTACTTCACAGGTGAACTTTGTGCACTGTATTCTAAAATCTGTTTGTAGAGTATGTCTGAAACTTTTGGACAAAGAAGAGGGGTGACCAGAGGGGGCATACCCACCAGAACCAGCATCTTGGTGCACTTGACATCCGTGATGAGGGGCACGGAATAGTCCACTGCAAGACGTCGCGTACGGTAGCCATGAGTCATGAAGGAGGAGACACGACGCGCCCCACCATTGCGCATTGGCAGGTTGATCACCAGGTCGAACTGTTTCCGTGCCAGGAAGTCAGATAGATGGTTGAGCTCACCACCCGAGGAGTCGATGTCTTCAAAAGTCCACTCCGCGGGCTCCACCTACACAAAGAGTGAAAACCATCCACCAAATAGTCACACTTCAAATCACAATGCTGTTTCCCCAAACAGCATTAACCGGTTGAGCTCTGTAGAGGAGACCTAATGTGTCTCTGTGAGGTACGGACAGAATTCTTATATATAAAGTCTCTACATTCTGCCCATACAGTGTATTTATGTGTTCCATATGGTTCTCACAGTAAGCAGCGACTGTTACCCATGTTCCGTATGATTCTCACAGAAAACAGCGACTGTTTCCCCAAACAGCATTAACCAGTTGGGCTCTGTAGTGGAGATGTGATGCGTTAACGCCCTTGACTCTCATTCAGAGTGTCTCAGTCTCTCCAGAAAAATGTTGGGACAGTGCCTCTATTTGGCCACGAGCCCTTCCTTCTAAACCATTCCAGTTTATTATTCATTTGTCATCCTACCACATGACGGTGCACAAAGTGTCCCGTGACTTTGTGGTAACTTCAGTAGGCCATTCCTGAAGTCACTATGACTGATAAGGCTGTGGCTACTTGAAATGCAGTTTGGCTTGAAGAAAGAAAGAAAGAACTGGGAAAGAAAACAATTTGTGTTTGGAATTAGATGAAACGACTATATTGAACAGCTTATGTAGCTTCAATTAAATGTCCAAAATGTCTGCTTTCAGCTGGGATAAGTGGCCCGGTTCAGTTCGATAGGGGTCAGTCCACGAAATATATGTAATTTACTTGCTGTATTCATTAATATCTGCGTGGAGCTCTCAGGTTCAGAAACCCCAAGCAGAATCCTTCCTTAAGAAGGTAACAGTCGCTCGGCCGGTCTCAATCTCCTGCTTTTTACTGAACCTGGAGGCTCATTACTGTGCTTACATTAACTAGTCACTGGACTTTCTCCGTAGCCAGCTGAATCCCATCTACATTCTCACATGCCTTACTTCTCAGGGTTGGCTCGAACCTTCACCCCGGCTTAATGTGTTTCAAACTAATGCGAAAACGTACACAGGCACGCCCTTTCGTCCTTCGCGTTTATCTCTGCACGTTCAAGGTCCATGCTCCGATCTATATAGATATAATCCTGCAGCACGGCAATAGAACAAGATATTCGTAATCAGCGATTTCCGGCGCGGACTGGCGTCACTCGTTTCTTTGTTGTTAAGAGCTGATAATGTGGGGACCGCACTAATCCCAGTCCCAGCGAAACCCCTGAAGCCTCAAGTTCCTCTACCTGATATACAATTTGGGCAATGTACGCAAGCACAGCGCACTAGAAAACCGAGATTAACGGCCGTGGGGATCCGTTGCGTTCACCACACGACACCCTCTATCCGCTAAAGTTGGCACTAACTTCGCCGACAAGCGGTGGTCGCTTGCGGACTACAGACCACGGAGTTCCTTTTAAGCAAGCATAGTGTCCATGATTTATTTTATCCGTCTTCTAGTGCATACATTCATCTATCCCCTCTTCTCACTCGCACTACATGTTTCGGCACAAAAGTGCCATCTTCAGGTGCTGATCCAATCCACGACAAACTAGTTCATTGCATGCCTTGTCTATACATACTAAAATAACTAAAATATATATTTATCATATATACTGATAAATGTTAAGTGTTAAAATATTAAAATTGTACAGGATATTTCATTCCTACGTCGTGTTTCATTACGCGAGTCACTTCTATCATCTTCTGTTGGAGCACTCTTTCACTATCGTGTATTGTGCTCTGTGTTGCGTCTTGCTCCTGTGACTGCGTGTGTGGGGATAGATGAATGAATGTATGCACTAGAAGACGGATAAAATAAATCATGGACTTAAATCAGTGCAACAGGACGCTAAAATATAACATTAAGCATAGTGTTCCTTTCATGTAAAGCCCATAACTTTGGTTCCTACGCAACGCTAACCGGTTAATCTTTGTGATGGAGACACAGTGTGTTTTCGTCCGATAAGTATATACACACTATGACTGACTCGGAGGCGACCTCGAATTAATAATTATGAATCAATGAACAATTTACCGACGGCAATGAAACTTGGTAACAATTCTGTGCACTTTCCCACACTGACGCCGGGTGCTTTCCTGCCCGGTGCGTGCCGTTTCTTTCTTGCGATGCTGGCTGCATAATTCGGCAACACGGAGCGTCCTGTCGGCCTGTGTCTCCAGCCGGAGGGAAACTCAGTTACTGTGATTACGTGCTGGCCAAGTTTTGTTTTCATCGGCGAATTATTTACTGATATATAATTATTCGTTAGGGGTATCCTCGGAATGAATTAAACTAAATTAGTTGCCTTTACCCTGAACACCCGGAGTAGTGATCACTGCTCAGGGCCCTGATAACATCCATTCACAAAACTGGGGCGCAACACCAGCTCCATCGGCTTCTCTCTCTGCTTCAGACAGGGACAGGGGACGCCTGCCCTTTAGCAGAGCTCGAGAACATAAAGTCACAATTGAGAGTGACGCAAATCCGGAGCTTCAGGGACAATGGCGTCAGCTGCAGAGAATTCGAGATAATGAGCAGCATGTTTGGGCACACCCTGTCCGATAGTGCTCTCCCAAACAGCAATTTAATGTAATTACAAAGAGAGACCACTCAGAAGACGTTGCTCTCAAAGTCCAAGTCACATTGCGACTGACGGTCAGTCAATCTTTCTGTCTTGGTGTCGAGCTCCGGCTGGGGCTCATGACTAGATTTTTTTGTTCTTTTTATCCTTATATGAAAGTTACTGTCCTGCACATTTGGGGCGCCCTCTCTGACGAGAGGTCGGGTCTGTCATTTGTCAGTCATAGTCCGTATTAGTAAGTCCATTGTCAGATGATCTCGTACGTAGAACCCAATTTATATGCATTCGCTCTAACGGAGGGCGCGTACCTCGCGGAAAACGTTATGGTTACAGAGAACGTAGTTACTGTCTCTGTCTGAGAGATGGCGTTAATCATCATACAGCCTCGACGGATCATTAGATAACACATGATTATACGTTCACAATTTTCGCAATTGCAAAAATCCCTTGGGTGATGACGCACACCGGGAGGAACATGAATGAGGAGCAAACAAAAGGAGCGGGACAGGCAGAAAGGATTTCCCACGAAATCTCAGCGACAATTACACGAGTCAGATGACAAGTCGTCACTGCACGTTCCGCCGGTTGCCGTGGTGACCATCATCACTGCCATCTCTGATAGACGTATCAGCTGATTAGGCATCAGCGCAGATATCAGTGGACACAAGCCACTGAAGATCGCGACACACTTGGAGCCAGAGTGGCACGTACCAATATCGGCGTCCGTCCGTGTGCTTTGTGTCCCCCAGAAGGGGTCAGACTGAAGCCAGTAGGCACGTGCACTGCTCAGTGAACCGGTGAAATGCAAACATCATGTGGTGCAACACTTCTGTGAATGATGCGTGGTGAAATTCAGTCCCCATTATAAGTGAGGACGCTGGTTTCGAACATGGGGTTTTGGCACTCGAAACCTCAAAAGAAGGACGAGCAGGTGTCAGTGCAACCCAAGAGCATAGACCCTGAGGAGGCTGTCCTGAACAGGATCCGGACGACACTGTCTCAGGACTTGGAGACATTCCTGCTGAACAACATCCTCCTGTCTGTTCAGTTCTTCGACAACTTCGAGCGGTAAGAAGAACTCAGTTGCGGTCAATGGGTTTCTTAACAACTGTCATAGTCTGGTATTTCTCAAAGAAAACGTTTCGGACGCTGGATCTGTTTCGGTCTTCAGGTGAAAAAGTGGGGTCCGATGAATAAGATTATCTGTTTCTAACGGACCCAACTGAATTGGTGCTCCCTGCGTCTTGATCTGAAGATGGAAACATCTAGTTTCCAAAACGTCGTGTTTTCCAGAAACCCAGTAAATCTAACATTAAGCAGAACCTAATTAACAAGCCAGTCCCTCCTCATTGACACTAATATGAAGTTGTCCCTGTGCTTGATTAAGCATATGCCATGAGGGAGTATGGGGAGTGGAGGTACAGCTCCAGTATTTTTGATCTCGGTATTAGCCGCTTAATTGTGCGGTATGTGCGGATGTAATCTAAAGTAGCGCCTCTCAAAGCGGAAGCATGGACACCCTCGGGGGCCCATGAAATCGTTTCCAGGGGTTGCCGAAATGCAGGTCGATAACAGAGGCGCTCAGTTACACACTCGTATGAAGAATTCTGTCTTTTCGGACATCAGGTACAGAACCAACATGTGGACAAAATACAAGACTGACAGGTGGCCAAGTTAAAGACGGCTAATAATGTGTAAAGTAATGAGATTATTTCGGTTCCGTATAAGCGCTGCCAACTATGACAGCTGAGGGGTCGCGATGGCTCAGTCGGTATAGAGACGGGCTCGACGGCAGGTTTCGATTCCCGGCATGAATAATTTTTTCTCTTCTGCACACTGTCCCACCCAGCGGGTACCGGGGCACTTTCTCCAGGGTTAAAGCGACAGGAGAGCACAGCTGACCACTCACCTCCATCTAGTGCCGAGGTCAAGAATGGTGGAGCTATACCTCCACTCTCCCATGCGTCCTTATAGCATAGTGCTTAATTAACTAATCATAAGGACAACTTTACCTTACGTTTATACACTGCTAATGACCGTACGGATACAGCATGGATCTTGCAGAAGTATTCTATATTATCACGTGACAGTGACTCTAAACGGGGGTTGGATTGGTAATCGGATTTACTGAGCACTTTAACATAGAACTCGTGACTGCACTTCACAAATCACTATCACACACAGGCTAGTGTTCTCAGTCACGGAGTTCAATGTGCTGCTTGGTAGCGGCTTCCAATAGTGGACATTTCTATGCTTCCGATCTCACGTCCTCACAGGCTGGCGGCTATCTCACACCAAGTCTTCTAAATGCCGTCTCCACACTCTCATAAGTCAGTGTTAAAGTCAAAGTCACACTGTGACTGACGGTTAGTCAGTCAGTCAGTCAGTCAGTAACTAGGCCCTATCTGGGGCGCATGACCAGTTATTTATTACCGTTTGACAGTTATGGTTTTCTTTTTTGTGGGGCGCCCCCTCTGACGAGAGGACGGGTCTGCTTTTGTACACGTATATCCTGCTGGCCCTTGCCAGCGCAGTCGTTCTCGGGTCCGAGTCCTGAGACTTCCATTTTCGTCGCCTCTTTCGACTAGCAGGATCACGGTGGAGGTATTCGACCCCGCCTCCACACGGGTAACACACTCATAATGGCAGCTGGTTCTCGCTATATAGCCTCGATACGGACTGCACAGAAAACAAAGCTTCCAACAGCTCTTCTATTGTTGGTATATTTCGGTTACGGTCATCACGGGACGGCTACTGGGCCACGGCGTAACAGTGGGCGTGTTTGCAGAGCTGTTCCTTAGCTACGGCTGTCTCCGCTGGCTTCACAATTCCGGCCTTCAGCGGACATGCCACAATATTTTAGCACCTGTTGCGGTGTGACGCTTTGTTAGTGTCCCTAGGCTGTGTTCGCAGCTGCTTTGACACGAGGAGACCCATGCAACACAAGAATAGCGATACATTCACTAGGGATCTGCGTAACACCGAAATCTTCTCTTTGCAGCAACAATTTTAGGTGTACTTTAAGTTAATTTAATTTCAATTGCTCTTCTAACTTCACTGAAGACAATGAGGTTCTAACACCGTGCTCCAGCTCGCGGCTAATACCTAGAATTTAACTGATGACGGTCCAGTGTTCATCAAAACATGTCAGACAGCCCCTGAGCATTAACAGGAAGGTGAGTAAAAAGAGAACTGACTTGACAATAACACAAATGATGAAACCTGTTTCATGTTTTTCAACTGCCCTTACAGGGAGTCCACGATTCTTATATAAATAGTTCTTTTTTCTACTGTACTCGATTTCGATTTGTTCAACTCGATAAACATCCGATAAATCGAATCTGTCTCTCCACTGCGGTGGCGTTCTCAACGGAAAGTTCCGCGAATCCGCCAACCGCTGCGCCCTGCGGATTCACGTAACAGCATATGAATCGTTGAATGGATTTTCATTAAATTGGATACTGAGGAGTCTTAATAAAATTTGTTTATATACAGTAATGTTGGTTAAAATCGGACAACAATGACGGACACTTCACACAAAGACTGACCCGCGTTTCTGCGCGCATCTTGGGGGGCGGTTCGCTAAACGTTTCGGGCAGACGTGGGGCGAGAAATGGAACACAGCGCACGGCACACTTCATCCGCGAGGGAACTTTAACCTGTCACCTCACAACCCCAGAAGAGGTTTACGCTATGTATAAGACAACATCAAAAGATGCTATTCACAGGTTGATAATCTCGAGACAAGAGGAGGGCGAATGCGAGAGAATTTCTTACCCTGTGCGTATATTTCCTCACCTGTTTAGCGTATCAGGCAAAATGTCGGTGCTTTAAGTTATACGAGAAAGGGCAATTTTAACTTATCTCAAAAGCGAAGTTGGCAGCACTGAAAAGATGCCGCATATAATCAATACGAACTTTCCCTCATTTGCAACTGCTGGTTTCTATATCTTTTCGTTACTGCCAGTGCTGCAACACATTTAACGTTGCGGTTCGACAGTAACAAGTCCTTCCTTTCGCACTGAATTATTTTCTAAAATAAGTCAGCATGGAAAGGGTTACGCAAGACGTTTCACTGAAGACCTGCAACGGGATGCTGAAATACGGAATTACAAACACGTTCAAAAACTAACGTCGCGGCCGGATGGCTCACACTTCTGCTCTCTAATCATGATGTTCCTGGTTCAAACCTCAGCCTTGAGACAGGGTAACTTGTTTCTGTGGTCCTTCTCAGCCCTTCCTGAAAGTTCGGCGATAGTATCTCAAGGGGGGGGGGGCATGCTTCCAATTCATGGTTCACCAACCATGCGACGTTACACAGCCTGTTTTACTAACAGCGTCGTTTAATAAACATCAAATAAATACATGAATGAATAGACAAATACGTAAGAAAGCGAAAAATATGCCCTGCTAGTGGACACAACTCAAAGCGCATGCGTTACTGTAAACAGATTCTACGGGATTTAATTTGAAAATTCTTCTGCCTGTAAGTACCGTACTGTTTTCCCAGAATCGCTGTTCCTCTGACATGCATTACGAAGCACAAAACAATTCATGTTACTGAGGCGGTATCTTATCTGCATCCTGCTTACTGCATAAATGTGCTGTCACGGAACACATAAATACACTGTGTGGGCAGAATGCAGAGACTTTATATATAAGAATTCAGTCCGTACCTCACAGGGAACACATTACGTCTCCCGTAATTAACCAACCGGTTAATGCTGTTTGGGGAAACAGTCGCTGTTTATTGTGAGAATCATACGGAACACATAAATACACTGCGTGGGTAGAATGCAGAGTTTCTGAAAGTTAAAGCAGGTGGTACATATAGTATAGTTACCTCTGCTCTTTTAAACGGCTAAGGACTGTTGCGTTCGCATTCTGAAGGCTAGGTAAGACGGTAAAGCTATCCGTGTTAAGAGGCCGTGGAGGCCCATAGGGTGGTGAGACGTTGAGGCTCCCACATTTTCTAGACAATCGGTTCATATATGGCGGTGAATTTGTCTAGAGCCGGCCGGCCGCCCTTTACCCCCCGGTACTCATTTATGTTAAGAGGTTGAGTCGACTTCAGAGCCACAGTGAGGCTGCAAGGATTAGATCAAATGAAAAAAGTCCAGTGACTAAATCGGAAATCGAACCCGCGACCTTCTGGCTTCTAGCGTAGTGCCTCAACCAACTACGCCATCGCGTGCCCCATTCTGAAGGTCAGGGTTTCTAAATGGGTCATGAAACCGACTAATTCAGGACATACTCACGTTCCTTTCAGTCCATACCTCTCCGCTTCGCGCTGGTCCTTCAATTCACTGCGACATAAGCTTCAACCCTTCCCTCGCCGTCTACGCCTCCCCCAACTCTATAGCTGGACCTCTCTGAAGCGTCCTTGCGAAGCTACTAGTCGCTCAGCTCATCAACATCTCCTGCCTTTTGCGGATCCCAAAGGTCCAGTACCGTCTTAATAAAAGCCCACCAGTGGTACCTATCCTGAGCCAGATGAATCTAGCCCATACCATTAAAACCCATCGCAACATGGTACTCCCAGTCAGCCATGCGTCCCGCAAACAGTCTCGGCCATTCAGGTCCTTCGCATATGTCTCATTTTCTCATACATGCTACATGTTCCGCCAATCTCGCCCTGGTGAATGTGTCTATCTGTACAGTGGGAGGTCAGGTTCTTACAGGAAGAGCTATGAAGAGTTATATCTTCTGGGATTTAACACCGCGTGGTCCCTTGGAAGTCAACTGACGTTTCGGAGGAACATATCGATGCTGGGCTTGTCACCTCCTTTCACGCTATCATCTTGATCGACATATTCGACCCTGAAGATGGAGGCGACATGTTCCTCCCAATGGTCGATTGACTTTCAGTGGACCATACGGCGTTACATCCCAGAAGACAGTCCTCTTAGTGTAACTATAGACGGGGTCGGATTGGCGAATGTATTTATTGATCACTTACACACACAACTCGGAGCTACAAGCACCTACAACTATCGCTGACCTACGCACTTCCCTGACGAGAGGACGGGTCTCTTTTGCATATGCTGCTGGCCCTTGCCAGCGCGGTC